TGACACCTTACCAACCACTTACTGACACCTTACCAACCACTTACTGACACCTTACCAACCACTTACTGACACCTTACCAACCACTTACTGACACCTTACCAACCACTTACTGACACCTTACCAACCACTTACTGACACCTTACCAACCACTTACTGACACCTTACCAACCACTTACTGACACCTTACCAACCACTTACTGACACCTTACCAACCACTTACTGACACCTTACCAACCACTTACTGACACCTTACCAACCACTTACTGACACCTTATAAACCACTTACTGACATCTTACCTCTTACTGACACGAACCTCTGCTCATCCTCTGATAACTTCATAAATGCTTATTAGATTCTGTTTAAACAGATGACTGCCGTTACCAGCAAAACTGGAGAATTACGCATCATATCTGGTCCAGAGGACAGTAGTGATCCTGAATTATCAGCAACTCAGAGGTAAAACAGAATGAAAACAGCTAACATTAGGTATCCATGCACCGTATTCATCATTTTTATCATCTATTCCTYTAGCGCAAGACAAAGAAGGCGACAACGAAAGAGTCAAACTYCTGAGAAAACTTTTGATACTGAAGTTAAGTCCCGAGGGATTCCCGAAAAGACCCMACGGAAAAGTCCCGAAAAAGCAACACGCAGAAGTCCCAAGAAGCCTTCAAGCTGACTAAACCAAACAATATTCTAAAWCGGACGTTTTTTAACTACATTTTTTAATGATTATACTAATGCAAACCCGGAAGGTTTTAGRAAATGGTTCATTGAAAAATGTGCAATCGTGCCATAGACACAGACCGCTTGGACTCAAGTGATTTTCGTTTATAGTTGAACCTATTGTTTTCAATTTTTATTATTTAGTGAGAACATTAACGTATAATGCAAGTTTAGGTGTGAATATACACAAAAGAAAGTATTGAGATTGGAGAGGTTTTCTGGGCTTCCTTTCACTTGTTCATTGACTTCCATTTATTCTTTAGGCAGTAGAGTTGTTTTCATGAACCKCGTGCTTTATAAACTTTGTTGTATTTAATAATCGAGCACAAGGTCTAGTGAACGAGCAGTCGCAGGTCTAGCGTGCGTGTAGCCAACACAGTTTTGGTTGGGCTASACGCAGGCTAACACGGGTTGATAAAAGCAAACTAGTAGGCTCTAGTTTCTTTGAGTCTAATAATTTGTCCATCACATTCCCGAAACTAGGGACTATCACAAAAAACAGCATTTTCCTCTGTTGAAAATTGATAAAAGTGGAAAAAAGTGCGGATCTAATCTTCTCGGCTTAAAAATTCGCAAATTTGAAAAAAGGCCGTAAATTTGGATTAAATGGGGCAATGTGATTATGTACAAAGTCAACGCTTACCATTCCACATCGAACATACRTGAAGCCAAGTATAGTATATTTATTGCAAAATAAAATAAAGGGACAATTTAACAAAAAAAAGCATCATTTTTAATATTTSAACTCATATGCAACTGAAAAGAGTATTTACAGAGAAATATTGGGCTGGACGTTTAATATAAAAAATTAAAAAAATATTTGAAGAGAAATTCTAATTTTTCAGTCACCGGTTTTAACATTTGGCAGGTTTGAATTTCAAAAATGTTAAGTCACGAATCACAGCATTTTGTGTCGATCTAATATTTCATTTACTCATTAGCCTCAAGACATCTAAAAATCGTTTGTTATTGTGATCATTGTAAGGCGCAATAATATAAAAAGCCCTTCGTTCACCTATAAATATCGACCCATATAAACCCGCGTAGTCCGACAAAATTTTGGCTCTGGAACCCGGAATCCAGAACTTGGAATCTGGAGTCTGACTGAGGTTAATGCGCCTCGTCGTCTTGAAATTCTTTTGTGTTTGACTACTGATGCGAAATTCCAAGAAGAATCTAAATTAGTGACTTCAATGTTTCCTAATTGTGCAACACGATCACAACACAGAAATACGCTTGGGATTTAGTCTAATTGCATTCCGCAAATGGCGATTGTGTGACTCCGTGACTCATGATAGCATGAACAGTACTCAAACTGTACTTGTGAGTTGAATTTGGAAGAGAAATAAGTCGTGGCATTGCCTGMTTGTCGGTTTACTAATGAACTTTCCGAACATTACTCATCTTTAAAGGTAAAATGTAACAATATTCGGTGAAATGAGGTTTAATTTTCTCGAAGTTTACGGTGGACAAGCACTAGGAGGACTATTATAAATTGATTGTAATGTCTAAAAGTTTACCATGTCCAAACAAACAGTCGAATAGAATAGGTTTGGAAAAAGAACTTATATATAATGTATATTTCAAAAGATTTCATCGGTGATATTTTAAACGCATGCACTTTCCAGCGTCCATACTCGAGAAACTTTCGAACCTCATTGACTTGACTACGAAATGCTACCGTAAATAGTACACGAAAAAAGACGTAAATCGATGAGGTGACTATAATTTAGATATCAAAACACATGACTTTAGATTTGCTCAGGAACATATCAATTGAGCTCTGCATAAATCTGTTTATTCTACTTTCGGTATTGTAAGAATTGCTGAATAATTTCTCTCCWGGTGTTTATTGTTCGCCACCAAGCATCATACTCACTCGGGTTCCGCGTGCGTAGAACATGGTAATAACAAACAAAATAAAATAAATAAGAGTACAATGCTTGGCTAGACCAAGGTTAGATTTAAGGTTAGATTTAAGGTTAAGGACTAAGGCTAATATGCAGTTAAAGGTTTAAGGCACATACCGCTGTAATAATAGCTACAGTACGTATCATCATTTTCTATTTACTCACGCAAAATCATTGACAATAATTGACAATTGAAAATCTTTGACASTGTAATCTTTCCAAAATCAAAGACAAATTACTGTAAGCAAACACAAAATCATCACGAAGGCTATAGTTGATCGAAATATTTCAATGGCATTTATGTAAATCAACCTCGGATGTGTCACACCATACAAAGAGTTGTGGCGGGAAAATGCATGCTCGATCAAGGAGCATATTATTATGCAGGTTTTTCTGAAAAAGTGGTTGAAAATKAAACGATATTTTGAAAAGGGCTTTGCAATGAAAATACTACAAACAATTTGAGTATGACTTTCACGTAACAATTTATATACAGTCAATTCCCATTATCGTAAAGTCATTCGCATTTGTATGATATATCATATAGTGTATTTTTTGCAAGACTATTCGACATCGAGCTCCAAAACTTTATGACAATGTCAATATTAAACATTAAACTTGCGACAGGTTCGTGACATCAAATGTGGGATCACGAATCAGCATTATTTTTATGATCAGGGACGGTATGGTATTTTTTCTTTGGGATGTGGATTACAAGTACTGAATTTGCAAATGCATGGGATCACTCRAATTTTGTAGGATCAAGGGTCAAATAAAAATTTGAAAAAGTTTCAAAAAATTCTTAACCAATTACATTTAAATTGATACATATCTAAAGTTTAGAATTAAAAATTTCTTCCTTGGAATTCTAAAAATCGATTTATGCAAATGGTTGCTGTAACTGAAACATTTCGAGAATGTTCATTTTTCACTGACCAATTAGAAGCGAGATTCACCGTCATCTAAGTGCATTTTCACGTGCAAATTTGATCAAAACTTCAACGTGTCACAAATAAATAAAAAAACTACTTTATAACGAAAAAAGGGGTTTTTGGAAGCTCACAAATTACAATTTCGTTATATAGGCTAAAAACAATTGTCCATTATGTTTTTCATCGTGCTTTCTTGTTTGTCTGAGCTATAAAAGTCACTTTTCAATACAATTTATATTCTAGGCGGTCACGGCTTTTCGACGGCTCACATTTATGTATAAGTTGACAATAATGAAAGAATTTCAATTCGTTAAATTCAGAGAACAAATTTATTTTATTCCGGTTGTTTTCCACGATCCTCGGCCAATTTGCCGGCTATTTAGGTAAAGCACTTGACTGGATCAATTAGCTAATTGATTATCAGTTTTATAAAATTATTCATGTAATCCCTGTAAATGCATTTTTCAACGCTCGAGTTCCATCAATAATTGCAATTGTAAGATTTTAGTCAAATTCAGTATTGCTCTTTTAAAAAAACCTCTTTTTTCTAATTTTGTTACTAGTATCATGTCCGTGGCCAAGGGGATTTTAGCGAATTAAGATCAGAGGAAAACCGTAATAAACATTTTTATGATGAGGAAAAAGCCAACTGATTGAAATAAGTAAAGACGTGGCAGTCCACCCTACAATTACATTTTGTGTAATTTATGGGTCCAGAAAGACAAAAAAAAATATTGGAAAAATGCTGCAATTGCTTTAGAAAACTTCTGACGGATTTTTCTCAATACGTTTTTTAACTATAACGATATCTCCTTTATCGACGACATGAAGTAAAATGTAAGTTTTCGTGTACCCACCAATAATAAATGCCCAGTGTCTTTGGCCTTGCATATTTTATTTACATCAAATAGCAAAACGTTATATGGGAAATATGAGAATTAAGATATAAATTCAACGCCAAAACTAATTCAACGAATCCTTTTTGCTTGTTTTTTTATTTCCCTGTATTACTCAGTACGAGTCCACATGGTACAACTTTAACTATAAGTCAAGAATTTGACGTCAAATCTGTGTTGTAACAATTGCTATTTTGACTATTTATAGAATGATGCAGTAGATGTAGATATCATTACCTCAGGTCACATAATGCAAGCATGTTTCTTGTCAAGAGCATTCGAGTCAGTAAAAAGTATCTTCTCTTGGCTGTAGTTATCTCTATTCTCTTTTCACTACATTTCTACCTTTTACCAATTGCTAATGGAGCGTACAACAGAGAATGCTACCTTAAGGACGAGGACTTCGCAAATTTACGCTATGCAGTACAAAAGATTGGACAGACCATGACAAAACATAACGTTACATACTGGTTAGATTATGGTAAGTTGACTGAATTAAACATACATCATTGTCGTGGCGGATCCAGGGGGGTTTATTGGGTCAACGGGTAGCTCCTAGCCCCCCARCACCCCCTGGAAAAGCTGGAAAAGAGCCTGGATCCATTCCCTGTATTTATTAGTTGAGGGAAATGCAATTTTCTCTGACTTTCAGGTCTTTAATACTGTACCTCTATAAATGTACARCACCTTTAGCAGTTTGTAGTGTCCTCTTTTAATATATGTCAAGAGTTTCTAATACAACTCAAAACTATACACAATTTATTAGCTACACAATTGCATGCAGGGTCTCCATTCCATTACTAAAAAAATTCAACATGGTCAAATAATGGAGAATCTTCATTCCTGTTTATGGTGAAGAACCAAGACTCTGCTCACATGGCATTTTTTATAATGACTTGTTGTAATAGACCTTTAAATGCGTTGCCATGTACGTCACCACTCAATTCAAATCCACTGGGAAAAAGTATGTTTGTTTCTAAGAATTCAACTGTGAAATGAAAATACAATGAGCAATTAAACTTACTCCTGGGTGGTTTGAAGTGTTTGGAAACGTTTATAGCAATGCCTTAGCCGTTTAGGGACGGTCCATTTGAGTTAAATCCCCCAAAAAATATTGAGCAAGCTCTCCAACCTAAAAAAAAATACCATGCAACACCAATATGGTGAAAAAATATCGAGAATACGTAGTAACGTCTTTTTTAAACCAAATGAAATATTCAACTTCCATCCCCTTCTTCGTAGTAGGAGGTGGAAAAAGAAATTTTCATGAATAATTAAATTCCACATAAATTTAATGCCTTTTATTTGCTCTCGATGTGCTCAAAATGCTGAAAATGGCATTTCTTCGAGTTATTATTCCAATATTTTCTGGGAGAGGAACCCCCAACCCCCCCTTATTATTTCGGCTGTCATTACAACCCTCAATCAAAAATATGTATCGTGGTCCCTGAGATGTGCAGACTAGCCAAAATGTCTACACTACCCCTGTCTGTCTTCGGTTATCCATATTTCAAATTAAACTAGTCTGATGTGTAGTTATGTAATAACAATGCAACGTTAGGGTTATAAAGCAGCAACTATGCATTTTCCATTATTATTATTATTTTTTTTTTTTTGGGGGGGGGGGGGGGGGGATTTCACCCACCCCCTAAAAATTGTCTGTCCACAGTATATAGTGTATACGTATAAATGACAAATTACACTGTAAAAAAATATTGTGCAAGAGCTTGGTACAACAAAAAAATATCCTGCAGTACTGGAGGGCGAAAACAAAATTTCGAGCACGATTAAAATCTACCCATCCCCCTACAAAAATCAAATGGTCCGTCCCTTAGGTCTATTTCTACCATATCAAACTGTTTCTGTTGTTCTACAGGGACATTATTGGGTGCAGTGCGACAGAAGGACATATTACCATGGGATGGCGATGCTGACATTTCATATCTACTTACTAGTGATAATGCTGCATTTCATAAAGAACTCTTTGAAAGATATGGCATTAATTCTAACTCTTTAATAGCCTCTTACAAAGGACTTACTATTGACTATGTGAGGTGGAAATCCAAAAAAGGACAGTGGGATGGAAAAGAAACTACCCTACTCTTTAAATATTATCCTRATTCTGTTTTAAAAAATGAAAATGTTATAGTTTTACATAGTCACAAACTCCAGACATTCCCTATGTCRTGGGTGGAACCTCGAAAAACAATTGATTTMCATGGTGTGAAACTATTTGTTCCTAATAATCCTAAGGAATTTTTAAAACACAGATATCTCTTTACATACTCTTTAGGACTTTCATTTCCATACAAGTGGAAGTGTTGGGTGCCTTGTTGGCTTAGGAAAGCTAAGGGTTGCTCTATGACGTGACATCCCCCATGCACAAATTTCCAAATAATATAGATTTATACTAAAAGTACAGACTGCCATGAATATGTTTTCAGCTGTTAAACACTAGTTTCTATTTTTCTAAAAGCAAAATCTATTTATTTAGTGCTATTTAATAAAACTAAATACGCTAAGGACCAGGTTCAGTCATTTTTTAAGTTTGAGTATTTTGACCTCTGAATTTATTGACACCTCATGGATTTTGTTCAGTTGGACAAACATATTATAACCCAGAAATGTCAATTGGTTCRGACTACAAACTGCAAATGTCTAAACTGGGCCTTAGTGTTTTTCACATCAGATTTGTAAAAAAATCCTAACAAATAAGTACTTTTTGCAATATTAATATAAACTAAACTATTTTATGCAAACAATAAAAATTATTATTTTTTGATTTATTGTTCATTAATGATACTTACAGCCTTTTGCACAAATTATGAGACATTTTTATATATATAATATACCTAACCAAATATCAAAAACACCCAAGAAATTATGGGATACCGTCGCTGATATTTTGTCTGTAACAACCTGATGCTAGGCAATCATGACAAAATATAATAGAGATATACCATAATTTCTGGGGTGTTTTTGATATTTGGTTAGGTATATTTATATATATAAAAATGTCTCATAATTTGTGCAAAAGGCTGTACAACCTAAAATTAAAATATATAAATTAATTATAATAAATGGGAGAACTATATATACAACAAGATGAAATTTGCTTAAATTTTACACCTGCTACTATTGATGAATTTTTGGCAGCCCCCCAAAAAACACAATAACATTCAAAATTTTTTGGCTAGGTACCCTAATTGTACCCCCCCCTTTTTTGTAAGGGAGTTGCCACTCAGTCTATAAATGTCTAGTTTCCCTCAGGCCTAATTAACTCTGTCATAACGCTGTATGCATGATTTCAGTCATCTCACACCAGGGATCTCACTTCTTATTTCCTTTAAACACAACAATTTTCTCTATYCTGCTCAGGATCCATTAGCGGTACATGAACATCATCTCCTGGGTTATTTTCATGGTTGATTCCACCATTCAAGACGTTTTGGTTTTGATCATCCTCTTTACCTTTTAAGTGCATCAAAAGTCTCTGCTTCCAGGTATCTTTCTCCACATCACTCGTTGCRTCAAGGAATGTCTTCCTGCGTATCCCCAAAGGGAGTTTCTTGCGTTTGACTGACTCGTCAATCTTCAGTGCTATKAGTGGGTTGAAACCTGGCTCTTCAATGCTACGATGTAGGGCATAGTCGAGCTCTGAACGGCAATACTTACTCTTCATGTAATTCTTGGATATCACTGCAATCACCACTCGGCTCSTGTATATGCAGTTGACTATATTTTGCTCCAGCAACACTCCAGCTTCAAAGTTGCGATAATGAATACAAGTTTYGATGCCATTTTCATTGAGAAAAGTTAACAAGTTGGCCTTGACCCAGGGGTAGTCCTGACTACTGTATGTTATAAACGCTCCATACTTGAATGGRCCTTTGGGGATTTCTGTGAGAAATTTTCAATGAAATATAACTATAATTACACAGTTGCTATTAATGTTGATGTTGTTAGCATCAATTTATAATTGTAATTTACAAAACAACATTTTTTTGTATGGAACAATTTTCATGTACAGCCAATTTGCAAAMGTTGTAGCACTTTCCAAACAAAATGCATTATTAAGAAATTTGTACAAATAAAAGTATACATAAGTAAAAGTTGCTGTCAAAGTACACATGGGGAAATTTAGGGGGTGCCAGTGAGGTCATCATTCCCCTCTTTGTGAAATTCCTCAATACATATGACCTGCAAACTTAACTTTTACCACTGACAAGGATATGAGTGGAGTTATAGTCACTAGAATAAAGAGCTGAGTTATGGTTTGGTTGCTAATGTCACAATGTTATCAAYAATWATCAAAACTAGGRTAAAATAATATGACRTCAATTTGCCTTACTTGGTGGATCTGCTTTGCTTCTGCATCTATAGAAAACCAATATAACAACTACCAAAATAAACACTGAAACAGCAACTGGGATCACCACTTTAAACAGCATCTTAGAATCATCAGGTAGGTCAGGTTTGTTTGGTTCTAAAAAAAGTAATTTTCCAGTTCATTTTTTTGTATGGATGATGAAGGTTTACATCACTGAGGCATGCTAAAACTTTTCTTAATTAAAGAAGCAATATTGTAACTTTTAAATGTGTCATTTACGCTCAAGGGCAGATTCAGAGGTAATTAGCTACTACAAGCTACCCTCTCTTTTTAGGATTCTAAAAAATTGAAAATAAGCCAATCCAGTAAAAAATGATTTTTTGAGTTATCTATCTCCTTGGAAATCATGGACAATATAAATTTGGACATGATAAACATTGACCTAACACATCGTATTCATTCTACTGACGAGATAACCCCCCCCCCTCCCCCCTGTTGTACATGATGTCATCATACTGAAGCATGAAACATGAACAAATGAAAATAGACACACAACATTGTACAGGGGCCAGGGTAGGTATGAAATTGTACTTTTGTTTATGTAACATGTTTCAATGAACACCATAAAATGTCCAGGATTGTAGCTTAATATTTTTGCATGTAATTTTAACAAGGATTACATATTTACTTAAGAAATAATTACCCTTCTTTGCAACAGTCAATAAAATGGTGTCGCTGACAGTTTCATCGTTGACATAGACTTTACATGTATAATTGCCATTATCATCTTTGGTGATATCAAAGATAGTCAGCTGCATTTTCACTTTTTTGGCAGCACCCAATTTCTTTTGTTCATAGTACTCTGTATTAAAAGCAAGATGTCTGCTGCTGTTGTAGTCTTTTTCAAGTTCTTTTCCATTATGAAACCATCCTACATTTGTATCAAATTTAGGTGCGCCACTGCCAATACATGTTAGTGTGATGTTATTTCGTCCAACGGTAGCAAGAACTTGGGGGTTAACAGCGCGTACCTCTGGGTCCCTACCTGGACCTTATGGATTAAAATCATTGTTATATTTCGTTAGGACATACTTGATCAAAATTATAAACTTATCAAAGATCTTTTTATAGCTGGATGTCACTCATTCTTTTGCCTATAATAMTCTCAATTAGGAACAAGTGCCCAATATGTGATACGAATAATACAGTACATCATATAATTACTCCAAATAGCCGCTATTTGTTAGTATTTAGTTTGATTTTATTTCATGGTTTTTCTGTGTTTGCTCTAAAGGAATACCTGTTGGTTAACGCTGACTCAAACACTTTCAACATGAAATGTTAAACCAAACATTTGGTTCACCTTTGATGAATGGCAATGATGAATGTGAATCATGAGGGCTTTCAGTGTTGAATATTGAAACAGTTTAAAAGTGTTTCAACATTTCTTTTGTTCTTGAAAACGTTGAATGATGTTGAAGTAAGTTTGTTCAGTCAAATCAAAATTATTGTAATACAAAGTACCTGTACAGCATTCACTCTAGTTGTTGTTGAAAAAAAGTTGAAAGCCTCATGCAAGCATGGACAACACTGCCATTCAACAAAATCGAACAAATGTTAAATGCATTTGCGCACCCATCATTCAACATCCTTCAACACTGTACTTCCACATCATTCAACAAAGTAGAACAAATGTTATAAGCAAATGTTGAAAACGTTTGTGTCTGTTTTTAGTTTTCAAATACAATTGCAGTCTTACCAAACATTGTCACAACATTTGTGTAAGTCTCCCTTCCATAAATATTGCTTGCTTGGCAAGTGTAATGCCCTTCCTCATATTTTGACATTGSAAGCATATGCAGATTCAGTCCATTTGTCACTGACTCAAGCTCATATGTTCCATTTTTTTCATCRGTTTGCTTTCTCACTTCAATGCCATTGTAGAACCATTTGAGGTCTGGTAGAGGCCAACCAGTTGCAGTACATTTAAAAGTTTGTYGCATGCCAACTRCAACATACACTGGGTTTCTAGTGAAGAGGCCACAACATCTAATGATCTGTGGTTTTCCTGTAAAATTCAAATGACAATGACATTATTTACTTTTAAGTAAAATTGCCTTTCTTCACTGTAAATTCACTAAGGGTTTCATCACTTTCTGATTCACACACATTGGTTAGCATGGCCTATGCAGATTCTGAAATAGAACATATTAGAAAGTGACAAGGGCACTGGGTTCTCATTTTCATTTTCATTACTTGATTACTAGCCATCAATCCAAATGCATCTTCACTACAAGGATCAATTGAGTGATCCACTAGCTGGCATAGCCAAGGTTACTACACACTTCATGAGAATTTGGGCCAGAAACCCTTCTAACAACAACAACAACAACAACAACAACAACAACAACAATGTCTGGAACATTATTACTGACATTTTAGCGAATAGAAGAAACATTTTTTTCTTTGGATTTAAAGACATATATTTTAATTATATGTATATAATATTTATAATCGTATGAGGAAGTAGCTGATCCCATTAAAGAGTGCTCAATACACATAAAGTGTAGAGCTAGTTATATATATGATATCAAAGAGGCAAGATTTTGCTGTAACTCCGAGTTTCGTGCTAYGCACTCATCAGACAATTTTAAAATACTGAATACTGTCTGATGAGTGCGTAGCACGAAACTCAGAGTTATAGCAAAATCTTGCCTCTTTGATATCATATATATATAATATTTAGGTTTTTTTAAAGCTCATAATTATTGATATTTTTAGAGATACAATTTAGGAGTGATATAGGTATTGATCATATTATTTTAAATTGTAATTAGTAATTTAATCGTAAATAGTTTCCTTCTAGACCACATAGGTTACGTTTACACCCTATGTGTGCCATACATTTGGCATAGACTATATACGTATCAGTACTGCATATAATRATAATGCTTCAATCACAGTGTGTACCCACTAGGTGGTTCTTCAACTGTGATGCAGCTCACTCTACCTCAACATTGACTGTTTTAGCATATGACACTCCTCGCAGCTAGTTTTTGACTGAGGGGGGTAAACCAGCATACCTAGAGACAAACCCTCAGAACTAAAATCAGCCTAAAATCTCAAACCCTTCTGGCTACAATTTTAGACTCATTTCCAAATTCCTTATCATTGCCACATGGCTATGGTACATATTGAAAATGGTTGAGGATCACAGTACAGGTGTGTTTAGAGGAGAGATTGCGTGACGTGTGACCAAACTAAACATGGCTGCAAAGGAGACTAAGGGTCAAACTCATTAATTCAGTATTGAAATTTGCAGTTTCAAACTTTAACAAGGTTACAGCATGAGGATGGTTTTCGCATGAAATTACAATGGGTGCATGCCCTGCAAGAATGCAAGTGGTGTTCCGAAGCAACCTTTTCCCCAAAAAAACCTTGTTTTCATGCGTGCACATGTGATAAAGCAATTTTTATAGTAAGTTTCTGTACCTTCTAGATTGACAAACACTCCTTCACTTTGTGTGTTTTTATCATAAGTTGCCTTGCACTTGTAATAACCTCCTTGCGATAGGGACATATTTGATATCTTGCTTACAAACCATCCATTAGTTGTATTAGAGGAGGACAATGGTTTACCATTTTTTAGCCATTCAATAAGAACTTGTGATTTCTTGTTTGGTCCAGAGATACTGCAGTTCAAAGACAGAGTCTGTCCAATTTTTTTATAGATTTGTCCATCTTTGATCTTGTCATTGGTGCTAATAGTAACTTGCAGTCTTGATTCTGTGACAACTAATGAAAACAATGTCAAAATTGAATTGAAGTTATAAACTAAAAATGAATACATGAGATAAATGCTACATTTTCATTACAAAATTTCACGACTTTTCAAGTACTTTAAAATAATTGTTAAAGCAAAACGTGATTTTCATGGACTTATTTTGTTATATTGTTTTATGTTTCTGGACATTAGCAGTGGTGATTTTTTWAAAATTCCCCAATTGCAATCCAAACATTAGGATCTTGCAGGTGCTTAGTGTCCTAAACGCATATACTCATGTGCGTACTAGTGGCAAGGAAATATTAAAATTTTTGGGATTTTTTTATATAATTAATTGTCATTGCTTGCTTTCTTGCACCAAGGCAAAGGGACCGCAAAAATTAAAAATTCACATAAATTTGATGCCTTTTATATGCTCTCAATGCCCCTCAAAAAGCTGGAAATCACATTTCCAAGAACCAAGAGTTATTAGTCAAATTTTCCTGGGGGGATGACCTGCCTTAATACCTCGGCCTTCTTTGGTCGATAATCCCCCCTCCCCTCCTCCCCATTCAAAATGTGTTTCACAGTCCCTGACGTGTGCGTACTAGCCAAAAAGTCCATGCTGCACGACTGTCATTATGTCTGAAAGGAGCCCTTTAGGAACTTTAGGGTTTGGGCTGTGTGCATGGTCTCTAACTATTTAAGTTTTTGATKAATTTGCAGATGTAAAATGCTCTTTTGAACCTAGATCTGGGTCCATATTTGCCTTTGTTGAAAAGCACTGAGGCACAACCAGAGGCATGCATATATGTAATTTTTGGGCCACCACTCTCTACAATTATTTTGTAAAGATTCTGTTTAAAGCTTTTTGAAGAATATTATTGAAGTCTTCCCTGATATACAGTCACGAAAATGCAATAAAACAAAGAAAACGTTTGGACAGCTGCTTGATTAACTATGACACTAATTATTGCTTAAGTTCACAGAATATCATTTCTTGGAACTCAAAAATAGTCGMAGCTGCGGAAGCATGAATAATTCAATCAAACAACTATTATTGCTCAAATAAAAATTGCTTCAGATGATCAGCGAGAAAAAATATTAAATACAAACTCTTTCTAARATGAATAAGTTGGAATTTTATAAACTGTTGTAAAATTTTGACATCTGCGTTKAACTGTTCGCCTCGCATGCCTTAACAGCTGAAACAAGTCYCTTGTTTTAATCCCATTATTTATTAATACAAATTAACACAAATATTCCATAACTTTGTAAAAGTCACGAATTTAAAAAGATTTCACAAAGTAAACTAAACTTACATTTCCTAGATTGGAATTTGCACTTTGAACAACACAGTATCAAGAAAGAACTCCAAAACATATTGCTTCCATCAAAAGTTTGCATATTTAACCAAACCTTAAAATAGCCGTTTACGCACGGTACAAAAGTTATGATTTTTGGGAACGTTGCATTCAAAGTTGTCAAACGCAGACACGCTTTTCGGTTGAGTTTGATAATCTTTGCGCCCTCCATGTAGTTTTCTGACACATACCTGGTTTTAACAAGAGAAAGAAAACAGCCAATTCTAGAGATTTCACTAAGACCATAGTGGGTTTTCACAGCATTTGTGAGTTCTCAACAGAAGAGGTACCAAACAGCTTGTGTTCGTTGATACATGTACAGTTTGACAGAACAAATCTGCACGGGGTTCCCTCTAAAACCGGAAGTCCGATCACTCGACCGTAWCAAAGAACATGCGTTACAAAACAAATACAAAGTTTTCTAAAACATAATTCATGGAAAGACTGTACAACAAATGAAGTAAATAACACAACAACAACATAAACAAGTTATTGTCATCAGTTGTTGTGTATATAYAATATATATATAGTAGAAAAGTATAAAACACTTTGCACGTGCAGGGCACAAATGATTGACAGGCGAATAAATGTACTATATTACGTGTCTGCGCGGACACTACAGACTTATATATATCTTCGAGTGGTTCCATTAATATTTCACGAATAAGCGAAGCGATATTATATAAACTCAAATTTATATCTATAAGGACTGCAAGGCAAGAAATAGGGCAATATTGTACCAGAGAGAAGAGGACTCCTGTACTAACTCTKATTATCCATGGTATCCATAGTAACGTGTTATGTTCACATGTAAAAGATATCACCAATATCACCATAGTTATTAACTATAATTGTTATGATTAAAAGTTATGTTATGATAAAAGTATTTTATAGCTCGTACAATATTTGTTTATTTATTTATTTTTCAATCGTTCAAATATTTTTTTCTGAATGATGTCGTTCACTCAATTTTTGTGATTTCCGTAAAAAAAAACAGTTTTTCAGTTTTGTGTCTTGACGTAATTTTTATCATAGATTTTGCGATAGTGCATTGGCTTTTTCGTAGGAATTAGAACGGCATTCTCAAAGATTATTGCAATTTCTGCATCTGGCAATATTTTTTAGCTCTAAGGCTAGGGTTAGGGTTAATTTTAGGGTTAGGACTTGGTATTTACTTGTATTGTTTGCAGTTTRTTATGAGGAACGTCATTCTGATTTTATGACGTACATTCTCTCTTAAAATCGGCTAAAAAAGGATTAAAATTGGTAAAAACAAAACGTAAAGAGAATATCCTGTTTGGTTAAAAATAACTAACTTACAGAACAAACTACACCTATAAAAAAATCGTATTTGCGTCATCAAGAGGCTTCAACTTTTTGTTCACCTTTTTTGTTTATTTTTGAACAGAAAAAGTGAAACTAGGGAGATAGTGAAAAGGTAAAGCAAAATATCAATTATTGTAGCCGACGCCTTCCGGCCATAATATATTAGCTCAAGATAACTGAATATGCAAAAGCCATGCTATAAGGAACCGAAAAGAGACACGAAGGATTTCACTAGTATCGAAAGTCGGCACTCTTTAACAGTGTCTTAATATTAAAAATAGAAAACTGAAATTATGTAACTGTGACATGATGAGTGAAATTAAAGCCAAACTAAAGCAAAAAAAAAGAAGCAATTCGGGACTGAATAGAAAAAAMCATTATAAATTACATAAAGATTATATATGGAAAAGTATAAACGCTTTTTAAAACGCAATTTATAATAATATCAGAGTCGTTAACTGACAGTGATTATTTCCCGCCAAACTACGTCATTTATTTTCCCTATTTTCAAAGTACTACGCGTTACTAGAGTACAAACCTTTGAACAAAACAATCTGTTTACTACTATGCTTACTATTACTGTGACAATTAAATAGATATGAGTTAACATAATTTTGTAGTATTTGGAAGAGTGGAGTCAAAAAAACCGCGAAATAGATATTACTCCTGCTGTGCACGTAAGCACGCTCTAATGGCATTGTTTTACTGACTATCACACATTAATAGTCAAWTTTTTTACATCACTCTAGCACATGTTGCATATATTTATTGTTTGTACCCTACAAATACTTCTTTTGATATTTTTTTTTATGGAAGGGTTTTAGAGGATGCATTCCACAAAACTTTGAACACCAATTTATAGGGGAAAATCATAAAAACTTAGAAAGTCCCAGCTCAGTTCCCAGCTGGAACCGCTACTACTGTACTGCCACAGTTCAAAAGTGACGTTTTCATTTGACCRTAGAAATTATTTCCATGATAATGCTCATTAATGCCAACAGGTCAATTTTGAGGAGGTGGGTGTGGCATTTATTTTTGCAGGATTTTACCCTCTTATGTCATAAAATGTTCAAATGGCTCRCTGCAAAGTTTTGAACATTTTACGACGTCAACAGTGTGCGTGGCAAATATGAGGACATTTCCTATTTTGTGCATGGTAGAAACTAAAAAGTGAAAATTTTTAAATCGAAATCATTATCTTTACGAAGGTATTTGAAGTATCTGCTTCCGGAAGTGTTGCTGAGCAAAGTTATGTTCACACCCATGTCACTGTTAGTGCTCCTTCCAGCTGACTTCAAGTCAAACGTCAAATATCGACCAATCGTGTTACTTGGTCTTTCAACARTTGGGTTATTTCCCGCCAATTGCAAGTCACGTAATACACACTCGTTACATCACATAAATACACAAGGTATCACCGAATAAAGTCATCATTTGAGCAACTAACCAAAAGAAGGCACTCCACAAGAAGCAATTTCCCAGAAACAACAACCAATAAGAGGTAAGAGAATATTATTGCACCAAAAATACAAATTTAGACAGTGTACAAGATAGACGCGTATCAATATAGGAAACAAGCATGTACAAAGATGAATTATCGTATTGCTGCGAATCTTTAGACTCACTCAGGTATCAAAAGTAATTCTTGAAGCTCTAGGTCAATAATTAGATTACACAAAGATTATTATTTGTACAACAGCAAGCAACCGGAAAACTTGGCTACACCACTACAAAACTGAATACAAATTGTCCGACCGCGAACAACTTGAAACAATAACAATAAGGCTTTCCTGATTTGAAATATCCGGAAATTGTTATTATACAAACTGCTATTTTTATAACACAGCAATTTTAACTGATAAAGTTACTGATTTCTTGAATATATAGGTTGTACTTTAACCCCACCTTTAAATACGTGCGTGCATGAATGAATGACTTAACTCATGTGATATTTATGGAAGATTGATCTTTTTTACGTTTCGATACTTTGGTCGTCGATTTTCTTGCATAATCTTAATGCACACATACTSATAACAATTGTATTGTTGCACGTTTTGATTCTAGAATCGTTTAAAGGCATAAAATCTTTCTAAAAAAGGCGGATGATCGGATGAACAAATTCTAGGGGGTTTTCCCTGGATTACATTAGAAGTCACAAGACTTCCTTCTCTTTCATAGCCTTGCAAAACACCATGTTAATATGTCACTATAAGTCCGATTTATACTGGATGAGAATAAGAGTAATTAGCAAGCGATTATAACCTTGCTAACATTTATGATACAGTCATTACCGTTCTTTCTGACAACCAGCTCCGTAATCTAGGATAATGGTAAAAAAATGCAAATCAGTTTATCTAAATATTCAAGCTTTAAAACACTATGGCAACTGAGTCAAASCAGAAATGTTCTTTTATCATTATATAAAAGTGATTATGAAATTCTAGTTATGGTAGAACATTTCGTTGACAACTTTCAAATATACTAATTTAGTCGTACGTAATTTATGCAGAGCCATGATAGAGAGCTTTGATTGTACTACGATCACATTGGCATTCATATAATTTTTTTATACAACATAAATATCAAAAGATGCATAATTTTTTATGGAGTCTTTTTATTAAAATAAAGTACAGAGGTAGTTTAGGAATCAAGGTTTATTAATCATTACTTATTATTTGCAGATGGGCAGTTGCACAATCTGGTCTTTCTATAAATTCTACTGCGGCACAACTGGCCAAGGAAGCCTCTTGAAAGCAATTAGTAACAGGAATTTGACATTTGATGGTGTATCAGAAAATTTKAGAACAGGTAAATTTTTGTTAGTTTAAGTATATTTTATAATCATCATCATCATYATCCCTCTAGCTTCCAATTCCCATCTTCTTGCTCAATGTAATACAACYGGAAGTGAAACATAGTGCCAATATAAAAGTGTGAAATATTTGTGAGCTTTGTATTTCTTTCATTTTTATACTTCAAATTACCAATATTATATTTTGCAGTACAGTTTGGAAATCATTATTTCATACTTTTACTTATTACACTCTACTACTACTATGTGCTTCTTTATCTATTTATTTAAATATTTATTTTTTCTTTCATTTATTTTATTCTGTTATTTTTCTTTTGTCCACTTTTTGTACTTGTTTACTTTTTTATAAATTTTTATTGTAGCTCTTTTATTCTAAATTATATTTTTTATAAATAAAGTTATTATTATTATAACTAAGTTATTAAAGAATATGAATTGATGTTTTTATTTGTTGCTAGTATTTTACCGTAAAAACAGAAGAAACACATGCAAGTTTTATGTCACTATTGATGGAGTAAATTATGGTATCTGTGAGTACAATGGAACTATCATCTTAAAGGTAATGTCTATATTTAATAGTTTGCCCCAATTTGTATTGACAACAAAGAGATTGTGGTAATTAAGTACATATGTACATAATGCCTTTTAGAAAGTTATTCTTATCCAAACAGGATACTACTAAGTACTTCTGTAAATTAAATTTAATCATTTTAAATTATATTTTCTGAGTTATTTGAAACTTGAAAGACCTCTACCGAGGAATCATTTGATATGCAAAATGATAAAAGAGGATGTTACAAAAACATTTTTCAATTTTTTTTCGAATATTTCTCTGCATGCTGATTGRGCACAACTTAACACAAACAATGCAATAMGTCTGGACCAATTCCTCAGTTGCATTTCAATTTTCAAATACATATAACAATCAAAGCAGTGATTTCATTATTTAGTGCTTTATGTAAAAGGTATCATGAGAACTTTTAATGTTTTGGACATTAGGTGATCAAGAGAGCTAGATTTGTCTTGAAACTTTTTTCAATGATTATTTTGTAATATTATTTCAGGAAAACAATGCAACTACCTTCAAAATTAAGCAAATACCATTRATGGCRTACTGCTGCATCTACATAAAATGCAGACCACATGATTTGTACTTGATCTCCGATGCAAATGGCAAGACAAAACTGTGCCCGTCGAATATCAATGACAGAAGGGGTTGGTTTTTGATGAAAGTGGTTAATGCTGAATTTGACAGCACAGATGGAGTAGAAGAAATGGACCTCATAAACAACAACAACAACAACAACAACACAATCACTCAGTTTGTAACAGTTTTATAGGATAATCATGAACATGTTAGATTAGTAAATAGTTTGTTTCATATCTTTCATCACCAAACCTGTTAAATAGGTTCTAGTTTTGGAATGTATAAAGTAGTCACAATGTGACGTTTATAAATTTTTAAATATAAGTTTAAAGTGTTTCAGATCTAGGGAGATGTCAATCGTATGAATATCCATGTATAATACCACATATTGAAATTGTAAACCTTTACATGACTAATTGTTTTGTGGTTCATTATATCTCACATTGTTAAATGGCATATTTTATAAATATACTCAACCAAATACAATGTATTAGTGACTATTAATGATTATGATATATTAGTTATTTAAAATGACATACATGTACTAAAGTAGAGTGAAGTAAAAAAACAGTGAAATAGATTATTACACTAAATATATGTTAGTACACCCTAATTTGTTTTTGACTATCACACTTTATATTTCAACAACAATTTTTTTCTAATCTTATTATTTGAAAGTCGACCAAATGGGTGACTATTAATTGTTAATCCACAGGCATTTCTGTCACAACAAAATGACCTTAAACTATTCTATTGTTTTTTGAAATAGTAGTCAACTTTTGTTTCAGAAGTTAAATGGCTCCACTCTACTATTTTGTATTGATTGTGAATTTTGAAAAATCTAGATAATAATAAAACTTGAGAAATGGGTATTATAATAATACACCTTATGAATTATACACTAATAATATTATAACTTGACATTTTTTGAATTTATTAATTAAAATTGTTAGCAAAACTTTGTGATTTTAATTGGATTTAGTAAATATTGTATGTTTATCTAGTTGGAATATCTTTTATAATAATTATACTAATTATCTATTATGCACCTTATGAATTGCAAATTAATTATAACTTAAAATGAAATAGTTAAAACTTGTGATTATAATTGGATTTAGTAAATATTGTATGTTTATCTAGTTGGAATGTCTTTTATAATAATTATACTTATTGTCTTTTTCACTAATTATTATACTTTTTAATACACCTTATGAATTGTACACTAGTTATAACTTGAAAAAAAAGTTTTTAATTAAAATTGTTATCACAAATCTGTGATTTTAATTGGATATACTGTATGTTTATTTGAATGTCTCTTTATTTGAATGTCTTGTAGTCATATTCTACATGAAACAGCCAACAGTATTACACCAGCAGTTAAGCAGATAAAATGGAAGCAGATATAGGCAATTGACTATATATAATTCAGTTATGTAAAAAGATAAATTTAACACCGTAAAAAAGTAGGTGAAATAACTTACTGACGTTTCGGACGTTAATACATCGTCAGAGTTAAGAGTGAGTTTAAGTGTGAGTTTATATAATAGGAGTAGCAAAGAAAGTAGACCAATAGGAGCAATGTAGGCATGGTAACGGAAAATTGCGGGAAACAGTTTTATTAAGATCGTTAAGAGCAATATTATAAAAGATGTTTACGGATACGATCGCCAAGACAACGGCCAGTCTCGCCAACATACAATAAATTGCAAAGCAAACATTTAATGCAATAGACAACATTAGAGGTTCACACTGCTCCAGTGTCCCCACCCCTATTAGGTTAAGTAAATTTGTAAAAACAATTTGTGTAGTTTTGGGCTAAGATTATAAAATAAATAAAAAAATAAAGTAATGATAGTGTAGCCAGGTTGCAGTTTCTTTTTSAACATACTTGAAGAAAATAATTTTGACATGAAGTTGCATAATTTTATTCAGATATGTATATATACATTTTACATTTATTTAGATGATCCTAGTTAACGGATCATGAATAGGATGCAAAAACACCAATTATATACAATAAAAAAGGATAAATAACTACACAAAAAACTGCAATACAACAGGATGAAAACATCAATTAGATTTTGTCAAGAACAAAACAATGTCTTTTTTTTACTAAGGCTACTAATGATGTAGCTGACAATTTTCCATTTTGGATTGATTCACAGTAAGTTATTCATAATATTTGTATATAAACTATTAACCATTCTGTMCAGTTCCAGTATATTCAAGTAAAACATGTACTTCTCTAGGGCCATATTTGTTATTTGTTTCATCTATCTTTTAAATTATTATAATATTTCTTTATGGAAACTTTCATCAAGAAAGCTTTTTTCAGACGTGGTCATCTGAAAACAGACAAAGAATTACATGTAATCATTGTAAGTATAGAACAATAAAACTTTTAAGCAATATTTATCATTAACCAATCAAGCAAGCTAAACAAGCTAAGCATACTAAGCAAGCTTAGAAGCAATCTAAGCAAGTTAAGCAAGCAAGCAAGTGTAACACAATATTTCAAATGCTTACAATCAATCAACACATCGATAAAAGAGATTTGTACATAAATAAAGCCATAARGKKSYTTTTWWTYSKTTTTTTTCTACTATAAATTAAGTAGCAGAAAAAAACCCAAAACCCAGCAAAACAAATTCAAAAMATCTAGGTCATGATACTAGATCCCMATGAACTATATRGTTAATAAGACTTAAAATCAAAATACAGCAATATGCAGAAATTTTGATCTTTTTTGCTCATATTTCAAGTTATATATTTAAATATATATCAGTACGGTGGTCCATAACTGTCATGCAGCAATACCAAATTTCACGATACCATATGAAATCACGGCACTACACAGAATTTCACGGCGCTATACAATATTTTCACAATGCTACAAAATAAACTCACTACACTATACAATATTTCACGGCAAATCATCCATTTGATACGACGCTACACAATATCACTCACTGCAAAATATGTAAAATATTGTGTAGCGCCGTGAAATTCTGTGTAGTACTGCTATGATTTTATTGTGTTGTGTCGCGAAATTTGCTATTGCCATAACACCATATATCAGAAATTATGGAATATCATTGCCAATATTTTTTCAGAAAGTACTAGCGCTAGGCAACTTCAAAAAGATATTGGCAATGATATCCCATAATTTCTGATATATTCTATATATACTTGTAATTTTAGTCAAAATGATCATAATTTCTGTAAACTATTTATGTTCATGTTATTTATTTATGTTTCATGTTAAACTATTTATAACTATAATTATATCTCTAAATACAGATTCACCTCAGAGATAACACTGCCTGGCTCAATCTGGCAGCGACTGACAAGAAACAGTTAAGCAAAGTGTTACTAAGCATAGGGTGAAAGGCCTTATGGGARATTGGGGTTAATACAGGTCATTCATAGAAAACAAATTAAAAATCACACAATCGCTATATTATTTGCAGTTCTCTTTTGAACGAATAATAATCAATTCTACCTACCATGGTACCACCATCTTGTCTTCTTYGGGTTTTTATTGCAAGTCGAAACATATATATTGTTGTCAGGGGGTCGTTTCTATATCAAAATATAAAGAAATTATTAAAACAAATGATTAAGTGACAATGGCTTCAACGTACATCAACAGACCCCTTACATGTAACTTCTGGAGTATAAAGAAAAAGATTTTGTGTACTTGTGGGAACTAAAGTCCATTATTTCATCCTCCAGTTAGATCTACATTCCCATGAACTGCAAGGCACCTATATCTAGATGGCATAGGCAAATCCATTTTTACAYAACACACAGGTCATGACATTGAACAATGCTCCCAGCTAGTATGTCATGCATTGATTTTTTTTGGTACTATTCTTTCAAAGATGGACACAGGAAGCCCAAATCTCYAATGTTAAATGAAGTAATGACAATGATCATACCTTTTCTTTGCAACTACTGAGCATGCTAACAATGCTGAGACAGACTGACTCAACTGATAAGGCAGGTGACCAATCCTCAGTAAGAATGGATAAGCAGATATGGCCATTACTGTATATGTGGGGATGAACAGGTACATTGCTACCAACAAACATTACCTGTCAATCAACCAAGCTATCAATCAATAAYATTCCAACAATCATTAAATAATAATCTTTATTGACCCCATAATTACAATCAATCATTCAAAAGCTTTCCAAGATCTTAAAATAACTCCTGGGTCCAGTCTGAATCCGTGGGTGTGACAGTAAAATTTCATTAATTTCTATGTTTGAACAGCTAAATGTGATTTTTCATCAAAAACATCCACCAAAACAAACATAGTTAACAGTATAGTTCACTTTAGATGCATGCATTAGGATAAAACCCGAATTTTTCCATCTCAATAAATAATAAAATATTTCAAAATCCCTGCTCTTTGTTCAATTTTTTATCACAAATTGCAYGTAGCCATATTAAGCCTTGCCCTCCTGTTAAGATTCAAAGATACAGTATATATTATTGTGACTATATGAACCAACTAGCTTGAATTTCACACAAACACGACACATTAATCAGTTAAGCTTGAAATGATAATACCACTATGGTGGCACGACAAGGACAGAATGTRCTGTGCAGCACAAAAGCTTGACTGTGATTCAAGGGTTGTTTTAAAGGTACTGTTGTACCAAATTTGTTACAAAAATGTATGTTTCTTTATTCAACAGTACTGGTGGAAATAATTGCATGCTATTGTTGGACAGTTTCTCAAGGTTTTTACCGATCAGCATACAAAAGTATATACACCTACTTGCAAAAACGTTGTCATAGAAAATAGAACATTTGAATTTAGTAAAAAGGAATAAATTAAAACAAGACAAAAGAAAGCATTCAGCCTCAGTGATCTTCTTTTGTCTTTTTAATTTATTCCTTTTTACTAAAATACAAATGTCCTATTTTTTATGACAACGTTTTCGCCAGTAGGTGTATATAAAACTGTAGGTTTGGATGTATTTAACCAAGATCAACAAACATGGCTGAATTCCAATTTACCTGTTCCTATTTCTAATAAATTATATTAGTTCTATGTACATATAATGTACAMTTAAAGAAATCATGACAAACATTTTAAACACATATTGAGCAATTKCATTCCCGAAAACCATGTCTTAGTTGATAACCAACAGTCATAAATCTATCAGCCATGCAAAGCAATATTAAGTRTCATAATTGCTTTAATTCAATAATATGCCCACAACCAATGGAATGGATGAAGAGATTTACTCGTACTGGTCCTTTAAAGCTCAATCTAAAAATCTTAATTGTTTAATTTTATCTGCTCAAGGGATATGAGCTGATATTCTAATAGCAGAGTAGCCAATCAGGGTACGAGTAGCATAATCTATTTTACAATTATAAACATTAAGGACTGCTACTATATATAAACCATAATCATCTTACACTCACCTCTGGGGAGTCAAATGGGTAGCGGGATCCAAATTTAAATTGCAGTTGGAACTTTTCCTGTTCATATAGGGTACCTAAAATTTTTCACACAATTATATTAGGTATAATATCGTCAAAAATCACACAAAAAGGAAAGAAGATAATCCCAGTAAAGTTAAAACACTGAAGTAAACTATTAATTTTTTATCAACTCAAACAGTTTTTACCACAAAAGTGTAATACTAAATATGTCTTCTATCTAGACAGCTTTTTATTGGAGAGGGAATATTTCATTTATCGTTGACATTTTAACAAAAGAAGAATCTGTGCAGACAGTTTCAGTACATTACTTTGAAACAGACAATTCTAATAAGCTCACAAAATTTTTGTTTGAGCTTAGTGAACTAAAAATTAAAATATAATGAAACAGAAAAATTGAGCTGATTGTCACTCCTCCAGGTCTATTCAGTAAGAACATTAGGTGATTAAAATTCCTTACGAGACGGCAAAATGACGTTATTTGAAATAAATTGAATGAGATGTGTGATCGAGCGAGCTRGTCGTTCACCAATAACAAATTATGTATTGTATGAAGTGGAACATCTTTTAAGCAATCAGTAAACCTTCAGAAAGCTTAACACTTACCCTGTGCACCCTCTAGTTCAATGATCCATCTGAAGAGAAGAAGCAAAACAAAATTTAAGCTATACAACGTACACTTCTTACCATAAGACTTACAAGTCTTTCATTCGTGATCATAACATTGCAAAGTAAAGAAATATTTTTAAAATATTCTCTCTTTGTGGTAATTTTTTTTATGGAAAATCTCCACCAAAACTTTGGTAATGACAAGAATAATATTGAAAAGAGTAAATAAGTATTTCTGTGTTTGCGTAAGGGAAAGCTGAGAATGAAAAGAGAAATGGTGGATTTCCTCTGGAAAATCGCTATGCTTTTTTCCATGATTTAGAAAACATATCCAAAAACAACAACATTTAGCGCATTACTTACTTTGTAAGGTTGGAGTTTTTATCAATGTTCATTCCTGGTGGCGGTTTTTTGAGAAGTTCGCAGAGCTCTTTCTGCAACCTCTTCTTCGCCGCCGCCATGTTTTTCGTCGATTGTTTTGTTTTGATCCTGACAGACTGGTTTGTTCCTGTTTGCCTCGCTTCCAAGTAATCCACTGGTCACAAAGAGCGCGGACGTTACACCAAAAATATCCACTTCGGGGATCCCACCGGAGAGATTTTTTCGATAGAAATATCGTCAAAACGGCGATTATTAGAAAAAGAGTGGTTTTAAATATGACACTCTTGATAAGTTATTGTTTTTGATCCTCTGCTTTTAAATTTATTTTTGAATACTTCACTAACATTTATTTATCAGTCGTTCAGTTGTTTTTCATTTTTTTAAGAGAAAATAATCTTTTGGTGAATTCTTGCTTTAAATGTAAAATAAAAATTAAATATAAATGTTTATTTGAAAAATAGGAAACAAACCTTGAAGAAGGCGCAAAGAAAACCGTGTTATCACTCATCAGTTTGTCAGTATGTAAATTCACGACCAGAACTCGTGGAAGTGTCTGTCGATCTAAAAAAAAGAACATCTAATAAGACGCTGGAAATTCGGGGGTTTTTTTAATGATTCGACCGCCCTGGATAGGGCCTGGATACGGCATTTCGTTTTACCTCATTTTGCTTTCCTTTTCTTTTTCTTTTTGGCGTTTCTTTTTTAGCTTTCTTTTCTTATTTCTGGCTATTCTTTTCTCTCGCGACGTTGTTGATTCCTGACCACCTTCTTTAGGGGCACATGTAACTGCAAAAAGTAAAAAGATAGATAAGGCCTGGTTCAACTTTTGTCGCGTATTTCCATAGACATGGTATTTCTTACTATGAATTTATTGACATTGCTAAATTTCATACTAAGGGCGATACATCCTCGGGAACCCAGGAAGCCAAGAGCGCGCGAAAAAAACACAGACGCTGTAAGATGCCGAGGATGAAGGCGAGGCCAATGAAAGAAAGACTAAGGGAAAAGTTATTAAACAAGAAAGAAGGGATAAGTTTTTAAACAAGAGAAAGAAAAGCAGAGCGAATAAAATCCTGGGCTGGGTTTTCAAAGATTTAATAACGCCATAAAAAATCGGGTTTTCAACAACCCCTCACTGTAAATCTCATTAGTTGTACCTATGTTTGAAATTGATTCCTGAATGTCTTCTGGTTTTACACTTACTGTATGAACCTTCTTTAGCTTGGTGAGCGGAACAGGCCAATCTGCTGAAAGTCAAAATTCATTTGTGGACTTCCTGTGGTACGGTAATTAACAGGAAGCCCAAGAACTATATACTGACATGATTAATCATCGGGTATAATTTTATTGTTTGAACAGTCATGGATATTGCTTAATACTTTACTACCATGCAAGATATATTAATTGTATTTTTCTACATATGGTGATAGTATTTTGCAAGCTGTCAAGTGTTTATGATTTTTTTTGTTTATATAATATATCGTTTCTATGACACTTCTCTGTTTGATGTTTCTGTTCGGTGAATGAAGTCTTTGAATAATTTGTACTCTTTATATTCAGCTTTTTTCGGCACATCGTTAAGAATGCAGAACGGACACAGTTGAGAGAAACCCAGACTATTACTTTAACTTTCGCATTTTGCAAATATTTGAATTGCAACCAAACTCCATAAACTACATCGATAATCTTAGCATCAAAATGGGTTCTGGATCAAGCAAAAAGAAAGCTCAAACTACAATGAAAACGGTAGAAGCTACTCAAGCATTCAAGAAAGGATCGAAAACAGCTTCAAACAAAAGCACTACATCGTATTTAGGAAAGATTCTGGTATCGTTTCACTCGAAAAACTACCATACAGCACAAGACCTACGCAACTTTCTCCAGGAGAAGAAATTCGAAGTGTTTCTAATTTCCGAAGGAAGCCCAGCATCACTACATCTTCGAGAACAGAGTGTTCAATGGTGTGATGTATTTGTCCTCATTGCAACATTCAGCTACCAAAGATCTCCACATTGTGTAGAACTTGCAAACTACGCGAAAGATAAGAAGAAGCCTGTTGTGTCACTAATCGCTCAGCCGAATTTTTCCCCTTCAGGTTCAGTGGGGGCAATCTCATTAGCATGGGGCATTAGTATACAATATATCCAATCAACTCCAGAAAACAATGAAAAAGTATTACAAGCTGTCCAACAAAAGATGTCAGGTGTGCAGTCTGGTGATGTTGCCATGCCTACACATGATACTCCAGAGGGTTCACCAGTTCAAACTGAAAAAATACCAGGATCATATCTGTGTATCACATATCACCAAGATGGATCAAAGGTGGCCGAGATGTTGAAAGGTGGGCATGGTGTGTCCAATAAAGGGGCACAAGCCAACACACTTAGCCCCTTAGCCATCAAAATGGGAAATCCAAACAGTGATAATATGGGACTCATTAAAGACTGCAAAGTCTTTATACCCGTACTAACAACAGGTTATCAGTCGACTGAGAAGTGCCAACAGGAATATGAATATGCACGGAAATGCCAAAAGGTAATAGTTCCAGTAAAGGGTGAGAAGTTCTGGCCATCTGGCTGGCTATCACTTGGAATAGCAGGCAAGCTCTACTATGAGCTTATTGATGCAAACCAAGCATACACTCATCATCCCAATGTACCTGATAGCAATCCTATGAATGATTTCATTTTCGCTGTCATGACTGCCATGCAAGGTGAACAGACAGAGGAGGAAAAAGACAAGGTGAGATTGATGTTTGTTGSAAAAACCGATGTTGTTAAAAATATCTATAATAGTGCATTAGCGATTTAGATCATGACCCACCATAAGGAACCCTAGAAGACCCTACTTGAATAGAGAGTTCTTATAGGGTAGTTAATGCCCTTTTCTTCATTGAAAGTTAACACACTTTTCTGATGTTATAAATTCATTATTAGTAGAATAATAGAAAACAATTCACACAACTCTCAACTTCTAAAAAATATGTTTTATGTAATATATAGAATATGAGCGGGCGATCTGTATGTAATATACAACTCTCTTCATGGGCTATGATTTCTATTGTGTTTTGCCTTATGAATATTAATGAGTTTTATAATTTATATCACTCACTTCATTCACTATATGTTTTACTAGTAAAAAAAACTTATGCTGCGATAATAATAATGATAATTAATTATATTATTGTTATTAATATAATTATGATTAATAATTAATTAATAAAAGCATTAGTATTGATCATTTATGTTTTCACATTTAATTTCTAGGCTGATATTGCTGCATTAACCAAACAAATAGACAGTGTGAAGCCTAAACTAGATGAATGGCCTCCMMAACAAAGACAGGAAACAAAAGAAAGATCACTTCCTCCTCATCCAGACACGCTCATAACTCAGGATAAAGAGAACCTACGCTTCAACTACATCAAATAYGAAGTCACCCGCATGACATTTAAGCCCCCTAAGCCTTTGTTTGACGACCATGGAAGACCAATAGAGCAGAAGTTTGACATCATGTTGTCATATCAGTGGGACATTCAAAATTTTGTAAGAGATATGTACATGGAGTTAGACATGAAGACRTTTAAGACCTGGATGGATGTGTGGGGCGGCATGCAAGGAAACATCAACGAAGCCATGGCAACAGCTGTAGAGAATTCAACTCTAATGATATCATTTCTCACTGAAAAATATCAAAAGTCAGTGAACTGCAACTTGGAGTTGCAATATGCAAAGCAACAACAAATGCCAATCATATTTATCAAAGTAGARCYAGAACTGGAGTTAAAAGACTGGATTCAAGATCTGGCAGAGAAGAGTTTGGTCTACAACTTGAGGTCAACATCAGACTTTGGAGTCATGGACAATGGTGTGCCTAAAATAAACCGCATTGCTGAAGCAGCAAGAAACCTCATCAAGTGGTCAGCAAYGCAGCCAAAAATACTACGCAATGATGTATCAGAAGAAGTCTACAGACTRCAAAATYTACTGGAAGATGCCTTATGTGCCCAAGCTGAGAAGGAAAACCGGTCTAGATATCTGAAATGCACTCGCTGTGAAGCTCAGTTTGAGCCAGATGCAGCAGCTGGTTGTAAAAAACACAGAGCATACTACATGGGTGGCAACATACTTGCAGGCCGGTGGGTTTGTTGTAGCCAACGTGAGAAGGATGGGATGGGATGTGAAAATACAAACCACACCACTGWACAGAGAAAGTGGACACCCATTCAAGGAGGATGTCATAAGTGGATTCCAGAGTGAGACAATGTGCAAAGATTGCAGTCAGCAAATTAAAACTTTGTTATCTTTATATTCAATTGTTTGTATCTAAATATCATTAATTCTAAAAATATTTAAAAGTAATACTTCTTTAAGTAATCATATGAGGAAGTAGCTGATCCCATTAAAGAGTGCTCAATACACATATAGTGTAGAGCTAATTATATATATAATATTAACAAAAAGGCAAGATTATTAATCAAGGTCATTAAATACTGTCTGATGAGTGCTTACAGCACGAAACTCGGAATAACAGCAAATCTTGCCTCTTTGTTATTATACATACTTTTTTAAGTATATTACTCTTATGGTGTAATGAATAYGGCATATTTATATTATTTAACAAAGATTAAATGTAATCACTTCTATTCTGGAGTTTTCTCAATTTCTGTTGTCCATAGGGTAAACTCCTATCCAACATTGAGACCCATACAACATTATAATAATAAAGGGCAATAATAATCAATCCAAGAAGTACTCTGTAAGCCTTGATATAGCATTTCTGAAGATCTATCTGATGAAAAGTTGTGTTATGTAAAGAACACAGAGATGTTAAAAATCAAGTTTAGAAGCACAAATAAATTAATAGTGTTTTCCTTGCTCATCAAGTGCTCTCTACCTTACGTGACCATTTTATATTAGGTTAACGGCATACTTCTAATGCAAACATGGCCATCGACCAATCATATATTTCATAAAATATTTCAGAATTAGTTAACAAGCACTTTTTCATCAAAATCTCTGCCAGTTATAGCCTCTCGTAAAATGGCCATGGGAAAGAGGTTGCTGTGTACTGGGTCCTATCTACAGAGATTCCAAGGGGCTGTTAATGCATGCTGTGTCAATTATGGTTTTAACCTACCAGTATCATTAGATTCTTGTTTAGTAGTAATTTTTCTTTTCACAGGTACAGTATTCACAGCTGCAAGTGTGCCTGTGGGCTTTTCTTCAAGACCTTCATCTGAGCTGTCATSGTCATCTCGATATAAATTCTGTATAACTTTACCCTTGAAAACTGCCAATCAAATCATATCAAATTTAACCCTTCAGTCATAAAAATTTACCATAAACTAGTTACTTGTATACGTGTATTATAGATTTTAAAATCGTTTTGTTAGTAAAAGAATTGTAAGCTTAGACCTAAACAACGAAATTCAACTTACACTGATCTCTACTTGAGGCCATCAGTTTCTGATTATTTTTTTAGATTCTCAGCTATTGCGAGGCTTTRAAACTCTTCAAACAAACATTCCAACAATGACCCATTTATATTGCACCCATGATTGAATAATAAAAACAGCTGATTTTSATGAAAATCCATTTGAAGCGTCCGCCATTTTTCAAACTTGCAGACGTCGGGGACTAGGACCGACACAGGTAGCCCTTGCTGAATAATGCTGAATCAGTGCATAATGTCCATAATGCACTCTATTACCATTTGGCTGAGTTTCAGCGAATTTCGTTGGGTTAGTTTATRTTACAACTGTGAAATTRAAATTCCGGCCATAACCAGACGGGATAAAGTTCCTCGCAACAACTATGAAAGCAACCTRTTGACCGACTTTGGATCTTCGAGATCATGTTGACATTTTCATTTGTTCTGACTTTTTCGGCACTATTAACTGTTCTAATTTCCTTTTCATTTTTTCATTACTCGAAAAGCAACCATAGTTTCCCTCTACTAACTRTGCTTCTCCCTTTCTTCAGTTTCCTAMTTTCCAACCTTTCCCTACTTTTTAGGGTTTTATTTTTGTTCTAGGAATAAAAAGGCACAAAATTAGCGTCATTTCGGGCGCTGAATGCAGGTCGGGACAGCAAAGGAGTACCCCTGGGTCAAACACGTAGGGAGGTCGGCCGCGGATCAGCAAAGAGTCCGCCCCGGTCRTGCTGATGGCGGCTGACCACCTAAGAATCTTTATAAAAAGCCGAAAGTTTTAAAGCACAGATGCATAGAAAAACAAAATGACCATTATATTTTCTTCAATTGTGTAAAAAAAGATAAGTTTAGCACCGTAAAAAAGTATGGGAAATAACTTACTGACGTTTCGGATGTTAATCCTTGTCGGAGTAAGAGCTCTTTACTCCGACGAAGGATTAACATCCGAAACGTCAGTAAGTTATTTCCCGTACTTTTTTACGGTGTTAAACTTATCTTTTTTACACAACTGTTTCTTTAGAAACACCGACGCAACTCAAACTAGTTTACCGCTAGTTCCCACCATAATATTTTCTTCAGTTTTTTGAGATGTTAGGAACATTTTTGACATTTAAAATTGGGCTTCCTGTTCCCAAAGGTAACCCAAACATCCAAATATTATGTTTTCTAATTTTAATAGTCTTGCGGATATGTTTTCATATTGCGACCGACAGGAAATAAGCGGTTCACTTTAAATGTCTACATATTATTGATATTGACAATAAAATAGGAAGTCTGAATGGTTCAACCCAGTTGGAATGGCACTACGAAAATATAGAAACCTTTTCATRTCGATTAGAAACTGGGCTCCAAAGCGTGACTCTTCAAAAACGTTTTTATTTTGCTGGAACACACAAAAGTGTTGGATTTGTTCAAATTTTTAACAACTGATAATGGTAATTGATGTGCGCAAAAGCTTTCCGTGCTTTTTGTTGCCATTAACCCTACGCGCCGTCATTACTCGTAAGAAAATACTTAGCATGASTTGTTTTTATTGGCTATTTGTTGACATAGGCGTCAGTTTGTTCAAACTGTAATTAGGGATAAGCCTTATGGATAATATGCATCTACATAATACGGGGAAACTATTACTATTACACTACAATATTATGAAGAAAATTTTTACCAGCATTTTCCCTAAGTTAGACATTTATGTGAAATATGAAAAAAATGGACGAAACGGTCTATCTTTCAAAGTTACCGCTGTCGCAACATACTTTCTATTGTGTGAGTGTTCATTTCGTTCTGGTTTAGATGTCTATAGTTTTCTCGAATTTGATCCATGGCCGTCCATTACTACCCATTGTGTAAATAGCAACGGTAAAAAAATGAAGAAAAATAAAAAAATATGACCTCAATAGCTGTATATCCTATATAAAGCACTACTAATAAATAAGACGTTCATYCCATGAACATTACTGACCAAAAGAAAACAGTATGTTGCCCTAACAAAGAGTCATTTTCTGCAATAAAAATCAAGAGAGGYCAGTTCACACGTCTTTGAATCTGTACGCGCCGTTTCACCTGGCTGACCACATATAGCTACGACTGATGTTGTCGTGTGCCCTTCGCGATTTCTTTAGTTTTATAACAATCGAGTGTAAATAACCATGTGTTTGACATGACAGATGAAAGTGACACACACAACAACTCAATAAATATCGACATTTGATTAMARACCTCATCAACCAATCACATTAAAGAACCCAACTGATTGATCACTGGTTGCCCAGTGAACAGCCAGCATGTATACAAACGTAGTGTACATCGTTCTCGGAGGCTATCAAAAACACACAATGTTATCAATGAACGCTTTTCATCAAAAGACTTTTTATAAAACCCAGATGTACGTTCTGGTGTAGTGATAAGTGAAGGCTTTTCCCTTTAGCTTTTCTGCTATCATATCTGTGAATAAACATCACAGCTAAAAATGTCGTGACAGTTCCTAACAGGTATCCTATTAGTTCGCGAATTTGTGCTCCGTTCAGTAACCTACTACTATGCAAATAGCGCGATCTATGTCAAGCCCCAATGCGCTTGTATTGTTAGCCATGTGCAAACAGAATAAGTCATGCATGCAACCGTAGCGCGTGGAGCCTTCTGCCTGAGTTTGCCGGCGCTGTCAGGTATTAACAAGTAAAAACTTGATYATTTTAAAGGAAGACATTGCTTGTTGTTCTCTTTTGTGCCTTTAGTTTTCACTTCCGTTCTATCGCTAGGCAAGTCTGGGCGACTTCCAGCTTTGCTGTGAAACAGGACTTTGCATGGTGTAAATCAATGAATAGGGTTTTCGTTTGGAGACGATACGATTGGTTATGCACCACTGGTCCTTGCGTCCTGATTGGCTGTTTGMCTCATTAATTCGGGATTTGCCCTATAGAGCTCACACCTGATGAAGGGGTTTGCGCGTGGCTTTGATGGGTAGACGGAGCACTAGAGCATTTGTTTTCAACTGTGCACATTGTGGACAAAGGATTTGGACCGACAACATCAATTCGCAGAGCTCACATTCAATCGTGTTCGAGTCCAATTAATATCTTGGATAACCAAGGAGCGTAACTCTGCAGATCCCTCGCCATTCGCATCGAGCAGAGCTGTAGCTGCCATTCATTCAACCAAACCTGGGCGCATTTCAGTTATGGTTCTCCAGAAATTCGGAAAACTGTTTTGCGAAAACTCACATCACAGTTGCTCGTCAAGGAAAGACATGATCTATAACGTATTATCCAGTGGAAATTTTGAAGTATCTGAGCTCAAGGTTGGCAAGCTTCTCGGTAGTGGTGGTTTTGGGAGTGTGTACGAGGCGGTTTTTCGGGGTGAACGGCTGGCACTCAAGAAATTACACAAAGGAACAAAAAACGAGCGGGCTGCCCGGGAGAGCTTTGAAGCCGAAACTTCTGTTTTAAACTTTGCACATCCAAATATTGTAAGAACATTTGCTTTAATGAATTTATGGGACACAAACTGTATAATCATGGAATATGCGGGAGATAGGAACTTACAAAACGTTATTAATGACTCAATGGAGTCGCTCACAGCTTCGCGGCGAATCAAATTCGCCTTAGACATTGGTCATGCGTTAGACTATGCTCACGATAAAGGAATTGCACATTTAGATCTCAAACCAAGTAATGTTATGGTAACTTCTGAAGATCACTGCAAGCTTGCTGATTTTGGATGTTGTCAGTCTGTCGAGGCAAATGAAAAACCAGCGAGTCCTACYAAGTCTAACCTCACTGGGACCTATGCGTATAGAGCACCTGAACTGTTACGAGGCGATTGCCCAACTACTAAAGCGGATATTTATTCATACGGCATATGTTTATGGCAAATGCTTACACGAGAACATCCATACGGAAACCAGAATCAACATGTAATTATATTTGGAGTTGTTGCGTATCAGCTAAGGCCAACTTTAACCTCGCTTGATGTGCAAGCTAGAGACGAAGTCTACGTTAATCTAATGCAGCAATGTTGGGAGGCTGATCCAAAGTTACGACCTCTTGCTTCTGATATCGTTGTTAAGATGAAAAACTCAAGTCGGAATGCGCCAAAAGACAGATGCCCTGCAGCAGCGTATGCGGTAACTCAAGAAGGACAATCATGTACACTTAATAGAATTGAAGTTTGTGACAGCTAGAAAATTTATGAATGATCCACAGAACCTCTTCTACTCCTGAATAAAATGATAGTTTCTTACTATTGACATTTAGGTCAGACGCTTTTCAAATTACAACTTTTACTATATATAATATCAAAGATCGCATCACTTAAACATATGCATAAGTTTTGTATATGTATAGATAGCTCGCCAATTTATAATACGTTTAATTTTGTAACTTCATGCATAAGTAATAAAGAAATGGCAGTCGTTCAGATAACATGTCTGATTCATTACCATTGACAATTATCTGTTAAAGCTTCACAGCTTAGTTTTCCTGATCCGAATGTGGCTCTGTTGTTTTAGTTACAGTTTTATTGCCTTCCTCACGAACCGCAAAAACCTGTTCAGTTTCCGGAAAAAGAAGTTAATATTTCAAATCCGGCTTTATACTGTTGAATTAAAGATACAATCAACCTAAAGTGCATGTATACGCTTTTTAATGCGCGATTTTCTTTTCGCGAACTTTCCGAAAATGAAAGCTGGACTTGCACAACGCTTGGTCTATTTTAGGAAATCATTGACACCCCAAGTAGAGTGCAGGCCTTTGGAAGTCTTTGTTCAACGTTATTGCGAAAGTGCAACACTACTAGCTCAAACTAATAAGTTCTAATTTCAAAGCAAAAACTACTTAGGATCAAAATTGGAACAAGTGTCTAAGTAATTAACCATTGGAAACTACAATTTTGTACTTTGAAACGTTAGCAGTTACCTAACTCAGGCAGTAGACTAGCCTTTTTGAACAAAGAAGCTATAAAGATTTGCATAAAGACAAGAACCAGTATTGTAATCTAACAGCTGGCGCTAAGCGTTAGTCAATAAAGCATTGGCAACCGCGCTGGATCAGACCCAGTATCACCTGCGAACATTGAATTTCGTTTTTGAAGTGCTGMWTGATTGGCCAACGAGATAATAGATCAATTAGACTAACGCGTGCCGTAGCTTTCATGTCTTTTGCAAGAAATTTAGGAACGAGCAAGGATTTCTGCTTTAAAAGCAAGGCTCACTAATAGTGCACAAGCAAAGCAAAACAGAAATGTACTGAAATKTGAAGACAGACGACACGACAAAAACATGTCTCTTACACGAGAACGTTTGCATGTTCTGTCCAGGGTTCAGCGAAGCGAATCAGCATCCCCAAGTGCCAAGGTTTCAGTACTGGTCATTGTTAGTGATCAAATTTCCTAAACCTTCGACCCTAGTAACGTTAAAAATGCTTTTAATTCCCTTTATAGATGGAGAAGTAGGTAGTATGTTTAAAGTAGTAATATATAAACGAAAAAAGGGCGTTTTTAATCATCAACAAGACAGCCACATATCAARAAGATGGTTTCAGCTGGCCTTCTTGTACCTGTGGAACCAAGTCAACCGCATCATTGGCCAACATTACAGTGTAGGTTCCGTGCTAAATATATATGCCCTCAAGAAAATGTCACCTTTTTCAATGACAATTATTTAAAATTATTCAATTCACTTTCAATTAGCTGAGAAAACTGAATGAAATTAAACCAAGAGGCCATATGTTTTCTTTAACTTTAGAATTATTAAAAAGATAAATTATAAAAGTGAAATCCTTGTCTTTTTATAAAAACCGCAATAAGCATTAGCTTCTGTTTGTAGAAAGACATTTGCATGTGGTCCAGTAACTGTTCAGGCGAACATGCATTCACTGTGGCAACAATTATAAGAATTCTTTCTCAAGTCCGTGCTGCTCTGACATTATTCATATATGTACTATCAAAATTGACGYTGGTTTCTCGGCTACATGCAACAGGCAGTCGCGTCTGCTATTCCGCTGGCAGGCAGAACAAGAGTCGTTGCTAAGTAACTACAAAGAGAACAGAACGCTTTCCTTCCTCGAAACAAAAGTTACCGAGGGAAGGTGTGAAATTCTACCTCCTTTCCTCGTAAAAAGACTCGTGCCATGGAAATGTTTGCCAACTGGCCTTTTGTTATCCGAAACGAAAAGCAAATGTGTGAAAATCCAGACGGTTATCACTGTTGGTGAACGATTGATAAAAGTCTATTTTTCGATAAAAGTTTTACTTTCCAACCGTATCACATTTAGTTGGATACAATTGTCCAGAGGGAGCATTCTATTAGTGCCATTATATACTCCGCCTAGGTATTTAATTAAGTACTATTAAAAAGGGGAATTTCAGAATTACTTATACTTTCTTATGTTTGTTTTATTGAAAGCTAGTGAATGCCGTTCGGCGTTTTCAAAAACTTTTCTAATGATTAGAGTAAAAATACACTGAATTATCTCCTGGCTTTGTGAAATCCGGGAGTTGAATTGTCTGTCATCACAAGGCAAAAGAACATGAAACCTTCTCTAAGATCAATAAAACAAACATGTTAAGCACCAAAACATGTTTTTAAATTTGTTTTTTAATTGTATTAATTTGTCTACATATGAATGATGAAGCACACGAAGATGAACAAAGAAGGATATGGAAGAAAGTATTGGTCACTACATGAAAGAAAAAACCATTAGTGATCATTAGTGACAGCAGGCATTGTTTATTCTTTTACTGGGTCGCAGATATTTGAATGGCTAGCTCAACTTATAGTTTTGGGACAAAAATCAAAAASTGCCTATAGCAGAATTCAACCAACTTGATAAATATGTAAATTTTGACTAAAATCGTCCAAGGCCAATTCGTGCGCTGACTTTTGGGACAGATACAAATGCGGTTCATCCGCTTTTTAAAGCGTTAAAGAATCTGTTATGAACTAATATACGTCAATTAAATATATTTAACTATAATAATTATCAGACTAAATCGAATACTTTTAATATCATTTGGGCGAAACTTTAGATAACCATGAAAATTGTCATTTCCCTTCTTCATTGCGTGCGCAATTTATGACTAATTTCGGCTTTTCAAAGTAAAACAAAATAATAATTTTATTTCACATGGTATCATCATGGCTTTATCTTAGATAATTTTTTTCTTAAGTTTCATGAAGAAAAGAATTCAATATCGAATCGAGTATAGTATCGTAGCAGGGGAGCCTTTCCTGACTTCATTTCCAAAAGAATTAAAAGATATAATGATAACATTTCAATAGCAAAACCGCAAGGACGCAAAAGCCCTGTGCAACAGGTGCTCGCGCTTCGATAAACCGGCTTCTTTATCTAAAAAAGCCCCTAGCTGCAGTTGGSATTCATACTATCTTAATAGAGATCTGCACAAAAGATATGCGCTATATTTTCCAAGATGATGCTCAAATCATGATTGTTTCCTGTTTGAGAATAAAGCCAGTTCGATTGTCAAWCGCATTCTATCGGGAAATCGTCTTTAATTGCAGTTTTGATGACTTTTAGACACGACAAGTACGAAACTTGATAACTTATTCAAATTTAAGATATTTCTAGAACGGAACAAACGGAACACATGTTAAATCTATATTTATGGTTAACGTAATATTCACAACTGAAATTCAGCCGCTTATGGCCTTTCAAAATGGCTTTGGGTGTGTCGCTAAAATTATGGTTGGATCAAAACTCACCTGAATTAACACCACATTAGTGTGATTTAAATAACAATTGCGTTTATTTTTCATTCAGGTTGTCTTTAATAGTGAACATCATCGACTTTTTATTACTTTATATTTACTGGTGTACATAAAAGAGTTTTTTATTCCTTTGGTCGAGTATTTATGCCTGAAATTACGGTATATTCTCGTTATACAGGTCTGAAAACTATTTTAAAATCATTTGATTGTAAATTGAATAATTGTTGTTTCAGTCTGATGATGGTATGAAAGAATACGATGACCAGATATCATTCGGCGAAGCCTAAGTTGAGATTTTAAAATCTGGAGGTCTCGATACTTTCACACGATAGATGAACATCAAATAAAATGAAAAAATRTATTCAAAAACCATGCGTTAAGTCAGGCTAACAAAACAAATTGTTGCACGTTTGATTGTAAGATATGAAGAATTGTTAGCTTTTGACCAATTACAAAAGAGTATGAATGTCAAATATATAACACCCTGAATATATAATAAGATGATTATGAAGTACCGCTGGAGGGAGGGGGGGAATGCACCCAGACAAGAAGCAGTCTGCACGCCCTAAGTGTTTGCCCTTTTACCCACGTTTAATTTCAAACGTTTGTTGAGTAATTTCGGCACTTAATACCATTTTTTGGAAGGCCTTTAATATTTAATAAGTATTTCAAGATATACCTATCAAGAAGGACGGTGCGTTCTCGTTTAAAAGCACGTCTCAATAGTAACATGTTATCGAAATAAATCTTCTAAGTTGCATGATATCAAACCAAACAATATAGCTCATAAGATAACACTGACATTCGTCAATCTAAAAAACTAATTAGGCCAGTCAAAACTTGAAACTATTGACCACAAAGCACTAAATTAAATATCTCGATAATTACTCTTTTCAAAATCAATTTCTTCCTAGAGTCTTCCGACATATTTTGTTATTTAACTATATTAAAAAAAAGAAATGTTTGTTTCCACATTGGCTCGTGTTTTGAAACACTTCAGACTTGTCATTCACGACACTTTCGCTGTTTCCTCTATAAGCGACTTTTAGTTAAATACACTGAAAAAGAGGAAGTCGTGTTTAGTATAAATAATATCATTGTAGTGAAAAGCCAGAACCAAACCTGAAAACAACCTTCACATGACGGATGTGTGTTTTCAACTTTCTACTTACATATATTTTTCATTAATCAGAAATAAGAACTTCGACAAATATTTTTACTTCACCAATTTCAAAAGTAAATCAACTTGATAATAATAAATCAAGGTGTAGTTTGTGGGTATTTTTATTAATATATTATTAAGCAAATTATTTTACCGTGGAATTAATTAATTTTACTGACGATCCCCAGAAGCGCATGGAGTTTCCCCTTCCATGATATAAAGTAAAGATATAAGGGCTCGATAAACTTAAAGAAGTCAAAAGACTATCATATCAAATGCACAAAAAACTTTATACAGCTATTGTGATCATTGTGACAAATTTCTAACGTAGTAGACTGTGAAATATCGGAAATATTAGGATTTATAGCTCGGCGGGCAAGTAAGCGGAAACCACGCATAGCCAGACTGATAAGACTGAAAAGATAATTAGATCAATAGAATGGACATCAATGAAAGAAAAAAAAAATAACGACATTGAAAAAAATTGAAAAAATGAAGAAAAAAGAACATGAAGGGAAAAAGGGACTCAGCAAACTTCATTACAACACTATAATGCCATGGAATTTAACAGGAAAATATTTAACAATTTCCATGAAATCTGGATATTACTCGGATATTTTAGATTTCCGTCATATGAAATACATTTCTTTATATTTATTAATTAATTTATTTTTTCGATACATTCTCTGATCTTACGCATGTTCGTATATCTAGACTTTTTTTTTGCCTGGAATTTGAGTACCATGACTTGCACCACATGAGTTGAAATGCCCATCTAGATGGTTACTCCTACTGAAAATTACTATCAACAGCATCAATTCCGGACTATATCAATATTACAATTTTTACATTACACAGGGATCGCGGAGCGTGAATTTGTTTGGGGGAGGCTAGCGGCGAGGAGGTACTAGAGGGGTTCGGAAATTTTTTAAATCTTAACTCTCGGAAGTGTCATTTCCAGCGTTTTGAGGCGTTATCAAAGACATTTTTACCGCACACACGGTCAACAATATTATCAATAAGGCCCAAAGACTTCGAAAAAAAGCTTCAATTTTAATTGTTCACGCACAGTTTTYACACAATTTTTATAGAATATATATGGTGAAATTTCATAAGGAGGCTCTTAATGTCGGAAAAATTACTGAGGGGGCTGTAGCCCGCCAGCCCCCCTGCTCCGCGGTCCATGTTACAAGGTTGTTATTAGCTCGCAGCCGTTAGGACGTTCGTTCCCAGGGGGAGTGACCTGTGAACGAATGTCCTAACGGCTATGAGAGGAGACTAGATTAAATTACTTTAACATTTAGCTTTTGCGGCTATTCAAAGTGACAAAACAGCCATGTCAGGTGATATCGGACTGTCTGGTTCGCAAGCTTCATTTACCTTCCTTTTATTAAACATAATTACTTCCCAGGAAGCCTTTGAACACCCCACCTGGCTGTGTCTGGTACCACTTGAAGCCCAGTAAATTAATTTCGGCTAGGTTAGTTAGTCCTGAGCTTAGAAAATTTTTATTTCTAGCCATCAAAATAGATAGAAACCATCAAGTGAATCACAATTGTCATCGCTTCGTAAAAAAATACGTTAGTAAAGAACTAGAAACAGTACCGTACCGCACCGTAGAGACCATTGCCAGGTTGTCCGTTCAACTGTACTAGCATATACCAATATACGACAAGAGCCATCCTTTCTATGCAAAAACATATCAAACAATTGATGTCATCTACCCCCAAAAACAAAATTTTCAAAAGCCAGACCATTCCAAAATTAGCGTGCCCAAATCATCAAGCGTAGCGTCTATAAACGTTTACACCTTACTAACTCTTTCTTTGACACTACGTTTTACATAATAATTGTCTGATTTTCATATTCAACACTGAGTTCATAATCTTAATGCTTCTGTGTTGCTAYATTTAGGTCTGTCTGAAAAACGAAGACCTGCAGTCCTACTATAAATACGGTTCTTAGCTGTCTAGGAATAATCACAGGTGGCAGTCCACTTGAAACACAAAGGAATTTTCTTAAAACGTTTATGGCTATTGTCTTTGACTGATTTTAGCCGTAGTAACCTAGTAATCTAATGTAATTATGTCTTGTGCCATAATGTAGCTTWGCTAGAAAATGACATGTCTTTCTGTGAACTACAAGATTAAGACAATCACGTGATCGCATTGGCTGAAATTTTTGTCAAAATATAAAATTGCTTTTCCTTTACTAAAAATATAAATATAACCAAGGTCTTGCCATCAAGAATTTAGTAGATAGTAAAAGAAGTTCTATCTACAAAACAACTTGTTAACGTAAATTTYGGACTCCGCAGTTCCTCTTGGGCCTCTGTGAGAAGTGCATCAGGGGCGACCTTGCCCAGACTCAAATTAAAATGCCACGTGATATCATAATTGTATCTGAGAGTCTAACCAGTGATGTCATAACTCAACTGTTCATATATGAATTCATTTTGATTGATGTATTTCAACTAATATTACGGGCGATTCAAAGCATTATAAAGTAGCTTCATCAAAAATTTGGCGTCGATCCCACAGGTGCCAATTACTGCTACCTGTTGTATGAACCAAGGTCAAGATAAAAGATCTAAATTTAAAACTAWCCGTCAATAAAAGATAGAAACTTTTAAAAGTTACTGACATTTTGGACGTTGTTATGTGATGAAGGAGCAAAGTCGACATTAATTGCCTGAAGCGGTCTGGCCCGGGTTTAGCGGGCTTGTCTCTTCTTTTTGTTTGTTTGTTTTCAGTTCCCTGGGGGACACAGAACAAAAAGAAAAAACTCACTCACATAATAACGTGCAAACCCTTAGTGGATTACAAGGAAAGCGAGGTCTACCACTGCTTGGACAAATTGATTGAATTAATAATACTACCATCTCATATGATTGTGAAGTCTGAAGTCATTAATAATTCATGAGTTGATTAGTCAACCTGGGATTTCAATTTTCACCATGTGCAGTACATTGAAAAACCGATGGATTTATTATTATTATTATTAGAAATTGTTCACAGTCTTCACATGGTGTTCGGGCGCCGGCACTAATTCCTTTTCCGTAAGTTCTGCAGTTTCGCTTCGCGTTGATTGGCTTACAGTTTAAGTTCAGGTTTAAGTTTATTCAACATAAATAAAATAAATTAAATTAAGGAAGCAGAATCCTTTCAATCGGAAACTGTGCATGTTCTGGGAAATTCTTGTATCCACATATCTTTTGTTACGATTATAAAGATTTTGATTTTGAGACCCTAGTTGCTATGGATATGAACAAGAGAAAATGAGCTTAGTTCATTTTCTCTTGCTTGATATGAAATATTTCACCTTAGACTGACGAAATAATTAGATTAATTAAGCGTACTTTGAAATCACGTCCAGTCTTCAATTTCAACTAACTTTTATATGCTACTTTATCCTGAAATCATAAAAAAGAAAAGWATTTCGGGCTTCCTGTGGAAGGGCCAAAAAACCCTGGAAACTAACTTGTTCTGATTGGCTAAAAACCAAATATATACAYTTTTAAAGCATTTTCAAACAAGAAGCGGTAAACTTTGTCCGCATTCAGAGTTTAGATTTAGAGTTAAAATGGATTTTTCGGTCATTTGGCTTAAAGACATTGAAGGGAATGAGGATATTGACGAAATTAATAGGAATATCAAAGGACGCTTCGGGAAAGAAGGTTAGAGCTGCCATATAACTTAGACACTTCGTAATGCGAAAAATCGATGTTCGAGTCTGCTTTTATGACTGAAATATTGAATAAATTTTCAGATTCTTCAAAAGAATGGACAATTCTTGCAATGGGAGAGGCGTTAGAACATCTGAAAATAGCACTAAACGACGAAGAACTGGAAAAAMAAACTGAGAGACATTCCTTCTTGCATTCTATCGAATTTCTGGTTAACATATTTAGAAGACATTGCAGTAAAMCACCTCCATTCTGTAGGTCGATTTACGGCCTTACGGACCAACTGTTATCATTACAGCTTGTCATGGCTCAAAGAAATAAACAGGTACGAAATTTTTTTTAGATTATTATTATCAATATAACTTTTAATTTGGCTTCCAATTTAAATGAAGTAGTGAATATTTCAGGAGTGGGGGTGGGAAGGGGGGGTCATTTTATAATTCCAGGCCTATATACATTATGTAACTATTAACATTTATTCCTTGACAGAGTGGATTAGTTGGAGAGTCTAYAAGAAAATATTCTGTCTATTAACATTCAAAGGAGAATTTATTTTGAACACTTTAAAAATATCCCAATTTCCTGTAAGCAATTAAAATAATTGGAAAATATCAAACTCTTTCMAGCAATCTGGTCACTTTGAAGCTGATTTACAAGAYGTTGTTACAACGCACCAGGAAATAATGAAAAGCAAGCTGAACAAAACACAGWACTGCAGTGATATACAAGATATTSTTGAAAAATACAGCAWGTTCTTAGATCACTGCAAYGCATTGGACTATGCTGATTTGATATTCACCGTACAAGAATGCTTTGAGTCTGATAAAAGTGTCAAAGAGCTCTATGAAAGGCAGCACTATATTATATATGGAAAACCAGTATCAGTTTATGAGGTATAAAATTATCTTTRCATACATGTACTGAATATATAGAGGATATTACATGAGCGTGCAGAGATATGGATTTTATCTTAAGTCAAGAGTGGTGAAAAGATCTCTCACGAGTGAGCGTTGTAAACGAGTGAGAGATTTTCAACATCAGATAAAATTCGTATTTCTGAGCAGCCATGAAATATTCTGTTTATCATATAATTATACTATACTTATATTACAAAATATGCACATTTTGTCAAGCTTAGMCTCCTAGAACATTTGCAAAGGAAGTTAGCCAGGAATCCAGTCTCCTGTTTAAAGACAGTAGATTCAGAGCTCTACATTTTGTAGTGACATTTCAATAAAAAACGTCACACTTTTAATTGTTTTTAGATTGAAATTTTATCTCTACTTATTGGACAAAGACATATTAAACATTTTTCATCAGAAAAAGGTGGGTACAACCAAAATTAAGGAAAGTTTCTAATAACTATGGTCACATGTCTGATTACCTATGTGCCATGTTTTACACTTAGCCAATCAGTTATGGATAACCTGATATTTTTCTCATTTTTATATGATATTTATTGAAGGTATTATCTGGAAATTATAGCTGCATAAATATATCTTTGAATAGTTATTATTCTAACGTTTATAGTAACATATAATTCATTTTATTGACATAATGATTATTGCTGTAAAACAGGTGATCTCAGCATAACATTTGAAGAAATGCTTGACCAGAGTAAACGTCCATCAAACCTTGCACCATGTACACCAATGAACTCCAAGAMTAAAACACACAGTCCMATTACACCACAGAACATRACWATGTCCCCACAACAAAGTCAGTCACCAATGYTGAGTCAATCACCATTATCACAAGGTCGTGTTATGATGGTATGGAACCGTTGGCCTTAAATGACGGCCTCATTTCATTGACAAGCYGCTTAGTTTATAGCTTATAATATTATTGCCATATTTCAACCATTCATTAAAAATGGCAGATTTAGAGAACAAAGAATAGACAAATGACAGCAAAACACTACCATGTAATCATAAATTAATGAAATTAYTGACCTGTAATACTATTTGAAAACTGTATAAAAAAAAGGTTTATTGTTCCGAGTCATTCTGTCCTTGCAGATGCAAACACGCTGTCTTTTCGTAGTAGAATATGGTTGTAGTACTTAAAATTAYTACTTTTTAGGGWCAGGCATTATCAGTGTTTATGTCCTACCTTCAATTACTGGTCAACTCAAGGGACGAACCAGCCCTGGCAAGAGTGATAAAGTCTACCACATAATTATAAAATGAAATTACTGAAACCATTGACATATTTTTTAGGGTCAGGCATTATCAGTGTTYATGTCCTACCTTCAATTACTGGTCAACTCAAGGGACGAACCAGCCCTGGCAAGAGTGATAAAGTCTACCACATAATTATAAAATGAAATTACTGAAACCATTGACATATTTTTTAGGGTCAGGCATTATCAGTGTTTATGTCCTACCTTCAATTACTGGTCAACTCAAGGGACGAACTAGCCCTGGCAAGAGTGATAAACACACCATGTAGGGACTTAGGAATGAGACAGTTCAATAAAATCAAGCAAGTTGCAAAGGACAAGAACATGACTATGTTTCAGGTTAGCAGATATCTTGTGAAAAACTGGAAAACCTCCTATAAGTTAAAGTTAATTGTTCTTTTTTTTGTGCAGATGGTAATGTCCTTCATCCTTCAAATCCGTCTTGGAGGAAAGAGTTATGCACCATCTAGTGATAACCCTTTGCATTTCATGACAAAGGTATAGTTTTWGCTATGCTATGAAGTATATTATACTCTAGACTTATTCTAAACATGGATAAGTTATGTAAGCACACATTTAGAAGAATAGGGGGGCTAGGGGGAGTGAGAAAAAGACTATCCTATCCCCACTGCTGCTTGTATTCCAACAATGAAAGTACATGTTTCAAGAATAAAAGACAACATATCATAAATTATAAGAAATAAACATAGGTTTTTAACATTGAGTTTCTAAAATTTCAGGGCCTTGGGGAATTTGTATCATTTTTCCAAAAACTACAAAACATCATCGAAGAAATTGAAAACCCCAAGTAAGTACTAAATAACAGTCATAAMTGAAAATACTTCAAATAACCTTTAAAATGATTTTTTGAAATAMCGTCCTGTTGAACCAATAAATTAATACTAACCAACATAAAATTAGTATTCATTAATTTATTGAAAGAAAACAAAAGAAATGCATAATTCAATACAATTATTTAGCACTTAATGTAGTTAGTAATCTAGGTTTTTCATGGTTTTAGTATTTGCCCTATACTGTAACTACTATAAATCTATCTATTAGTATAATCACCCAGACATATTAAAAATTTCCATATATTTTAYAGAGCTGCAGTTCTTAAAATCATTGGAAGCTTACAATCAACACTATTAAAATCAACCAATGAAGCATTATCATCAGAAGACATACGAAAAGCAAGCAGCTTCTTAAAGAAACACATTGACAACATCACAAAAGATATGAGTGATACACCAGTCATGGAAAACAAGTCCTGCATGTTAGGTCTGAAGTCGTATGTTTTGCTATGTAAGATACTTGATAAGAGCATCCTCTATGATTACCAAGAAAAAGAACTGTATGGTGTACTTAAGACACCAAGAAGAGTTGAAGGAAAGATATCATCACTGCTCACTAAATTCAGGTATGGAATGTTATAGTTACATGCAATTCTATCTCAGACTTTACCAGTGGTAGAGTTCATGATATCCCTAGGTGAAATTATTAAGAGATAGCTGCTATTTCTAATAAGTGTCCTCCTGGTGATATACTTGTATGGCCTTGAGAGACTATATACACTATACTATACTATACATTATTATTTTGTTAACAAAGTATACTCTTTCCTCAGACTGCCACAAATACAGACTTTTAGCTAACAAATTAGTGTTACACTATAATGGTAGTACAGAGACTTGTAAACAAAACAATAATATAAAAACAACCTGGAATTGAGTCCCTTGTGCCAGGACTTACAATAATCAACATGAATTCTTTTTTCAGAACACCAGAAGCTCCAACACCACAGAAGGTAGTTGCAGTGGAAACACAAGATAAAGAAAGTTCAAAGGTAAAATGAAAATATCTGTCAGTACGACTGCTTTTTTTTTATCCATTAGGGTCACCTGGATAGGGGATTGACATGTCCTTGGTTTGTGGTATTTGAAAAAATAAAAACAAAATGGTGGATTCATATATCAAGATTTGAAATAGTCTGGGATTGRCAGTCCTRAAAATCATCCATTGGCCTCCAGCTCATATTTTTCTTTTTTCCATATAATTGAGTAAAACACCACAAACATTTTATTATTGTTTTAAGGGTCAACGAAAGTCCAGAATGAATTTCATTGAAGAAATGGCACCAAAGAGAACTTCAATATGGCAGGTGATTGTAGAAGATGAAAAYGAACAAAATCACAGAAAACYKCTTGTTGTCATRAACACACYRACATCAAGAAAAAGACCCTTTGAGGGACCCAATCATTGTRGTGCAATGAAGGACACAACWAGCTCCCCTCTAMGAAAACGTCCCTGTGAGTCAATGRAGGACCAAGAGAATATAGTTCCTTCTTGCTCAAGAGGGAAAAAAGGAAMATGTWCAGCAAAGAGGGGTTTGCTTAGTCAGCAGAAAGAGCCTGAAGGAACAAAGAAAAGAAATGTTAAGAATGTTGCCCAAAAGAAGAAATTAAGTAAGCCTGTTAAAGTGTTGAAAGGCCAGCAGTCATTGACATGCTTTTTTAGATAACCTCAAATRAATAGCTGAAATGTAGTAATGACAACAAATTTTTATATTATTTCAGAATTAATTTTTTAATAGGTACTATATTATATTCTATAGTAACTAGGCCAAAGAATTGCACAATTTGAAATTACTTTTATTTATTTTTAACTATTTAATGTAAATCCCAATGTGATATAGAATACATCTCATAAGAAACATCTGACTAAAGATATTGATTAATATTATTTTAATAAATAATCATCCATAAYATAGGCCATTCTTATCACAACAACAATATTGTCTTTTATTACCCAACAGTATACATTTTTATTTAAGCAARGGAGCTTGAAATAAAACAACAAAAACGTTTCTATTGTTTACTGTCTTCTATACAATATTCTAWRWACAAGTTAACTGTTRAAATCTGTTATACACRATWTTATTGGATGCAATCAAGCTGCAAATCATGGTGGATGTGAAACTCCCATGGCAGGTTGAATGAAGGGTGAAAGAAGTTATCCATCAGATAGTTATCCACTTCTTAGATATTATAAGAAATTTATTTCCTGGATAATGATTTTTCTGGTGGAGATTACTATCAACCCTTAGTACAAGTTGCCCTTGAGAACTCTCACTTTTGAGGTTTTTAATAAGATTAATTAATTTTGCATGACAGATCGAGCAAGAATGTATACTCAAAAACCACATGCAATTTGAAGGCACATAATTAATATAATAGTTTAAGGCAAATAATCAAACAACAGTTTCAGTTCCATCTTCAAGGTAGAGTGATCACACTTAATCCGTGCAACTGTACAAACTAAATAGTGCTATTTAGTTGTATTAAGTAAATTGCGCATGTGGTACGCAAATTAAATTGAACTGATATAAATGAAGCATTCAATACATTTAGTACAAATTAGTACTACTTTGATTTTGTACAGTTCCATGGATTAAGTGTGATCAATCTATAGCAATGATTGACACAGCTGCCATTCAAAAAGACACTGAACTGTGAAGAAGATTATCCACAATGATTAGTGYCATGTCTGAGTATATAATCTATCAATCTATCATTATCTGGGTAATTTTTCTGTAACATTATACTTTTTAATCAAATGTAACTGACAATCATTACAGCTCATAACTTGAGATGTACATRTAGTACAAATAATATCAACATTAATAACATGAATACATAGTTTTAATATTTTGCTATAATATAGATTGGACAACTATTTTACAAGTACGAAAGTATATCTTGAGTTTGTTGAAAATAATAAAATCTTTTAATAAATAAAAAGATTAAACTTTTTCATCTGCTTCTTTAGTTTGTTCATTTGGTTAAAAATTCTTTTGTCATGTGTTTATTTTCATTATATTTTGAGGTTTSTGTAATGATAATTACAATGCTGGGTAAGATTTATTCACAGATTTTTCAAAATTAATTTTTCACACCAGGGCTGTCTTTATCCACAGCAAAGGATGACTATATTATACTTACAATGAAAAGGATGTATATCATGATGACGAAAGTCTAGGTATGAAAAGTGGACATGCATCAATAGCAAACTTTACATGGYRGATAGAGATACCCATTTTACCTTCWASTGAGCATATYRAAGAAGTGAGATCGATTTTAACCCCAAGAGGATGAAATCAAAAATTCCAAGTGACCATGTAATGCATGTACACTATTTATCATGCAATTATTCATGAGTAGCAATTTATCTTTTAAAATAAATTATTCAAAGGCGAGAAATATGGTTAATTTTACCCTTGGGAAGGTTTAATTTATAGACAAATGTTTTATAAATAATCATTCATCAGATAAATTAATTCTCGCGTGTTTTGTTAACCTAACTTATAGTGTATAACTACGTCAACCATCGATAGAATCTCGCATGTAGTGATCATATTTTAACATAATTTAGATGTTTTGTACCTCTATTATCGAAATAATACCAGAATTTGAGTTGTATTGTACCTCAGTTGCTTTTTCACTTCTTCTTGTGTTTTGATGACCTACTTGATGATTGGCTTGATTCACTGACACTAGATTCRTTTCTTCTTTTTCTAGTTGTGCTGCCAGAAGTTTTTCCTTCATTCTCAACAAACAATAGATTCCTAAATATGTTAAGAAAACTGACAACATCTATGTAAAAAATATGGAGATTTTTGTGTCAAATCAAAAAAAAAAAAAAAAAAACCAGTGATGGTTTCTACAAAGCAGACTGTACTAAAACTAAGTTTCTTTTTTTCGGCAGCTGATCAATGATAATGATGAATACTAAATCAGCTATTGTTTATAGTATCTTTTCACTAGTTTTTCAATCTAAAGGATACTGATCAAGTGAGAGATCTTGTCTTAGAATCCCAGTCAGTAACAATTCAGCAGAGTAGACAGGGATCCCACTAGCTAATGCAGGTTTACATGCATCATKGTCAGCATCACATGAGATGACTAATATGTTGTCTTCTTTGGTGCGTGGCATGCGAGTAAGGAACTAAATAACACAAAAAATGTATTGCATTAGATCTAAAGGTAATAACATTCTCATACTGCTGTTTTCAGACTGATCTGAGACATAGATCTGAACAGAGACATAGAGCAATGACATTTGAACTTGCCCCAGTGGCATAAGTCATAAAAAGCATTTTCCAAATAACATTATCACACAATAATGAGTTATTATAATTGTTTCTATGGTAGTATTAGCATGTACCTCTCCTTTTGCACACTGAATTATATCTGGGAAAATAAGAGGGTTAACAATTATTAGAAAAAAATATATTATAAAATTAGAAATACTTTCTGATACTTCAAGGTCATTTGTGCTTATATAAAGTAATATTATTTGAATTCTTTCTTATTGAATCCACCAACTTAGCATTTACACTTAAAAATCACATACTATCAAGTTTTAATTAACATCCATTATCCATTACTGTAGTTGGTCTGATGCATACCTTTCATTTGTTGTGGTTCTGGTTTWACATTCTTTGTGACATGTACTTTATACCCTTCAAGGAGACCTTTCTTTAAGGCTTGTTCATGTGACCTGTAGAACAGATAGAAAAAAGAAAACCTATAATTTTGACTTTTGGCTTTAATTTCCGATCATCCTGTGCTAAAAACTCAACAATGAACATAGAGAAACAAATGGCTATTGTAAGTCAAGATAAACCTTACAGCTGTAGTGAGAASGAATACATTTTTTCTGCTGCCTTGTCTTGGACAAAATATGGTTCATGATCTGGTCAAATAATTAACAGCCTGAAATTAGTAAAAATCATTTTCTTTGCTTTCTGTAAACTGCATATTAAAGTAAGCTTACCTATAAACTTCTTGCTTTTTTTGGATGCTGTCAGCCATGTTGGTAGTGCTATTATACAGCCACTTGCAAGACCACATAGAAATTTCACAGTTCTCCTTACCTTTTGGATAAATMATCAAAMGTTTGACACCTTCACTGGGCAGTTTTTAAAAYTTGGAAATCAAGAAACCTTGACKGTAATCATTGCATACCTTATCAGTTATTAAGTGGGTACAGTTGTGAATTGATTCCTCCATAGTTCCCCCAAGACTTGTAACAATCTGCAGACATACAAATATAACTTGCATTATGCTCAGAGTGGATTTCGTATGACTGTGCAAAAAACACTGCACTTTGGTAGCATGACCGTATTAGTGCCTTGACTGTGTCATGCCGTGTCTGTTTCGTGCTATTGCACAGTCATACAGGGTTTGTGCTACTCCTTGAAGTCCTTGAAAAGTTCTGGAATTGAAAACTTATTTTAAGAGCAATTGAAAAGCCCTTGAAAATGGTGAAAATCGCTAAATATCCTGGAAAACTCCTTGAATCTAATAAATTGATATGTTGCCTTTTAGCTTTTGGATTGAAATGTGGCTATTTTTGAAAATAGCCACTGGAAACGTTTGCAAACATTAAAAAATGTCTTCAAAAATAGTCCTTGGAAATTGCATTTTTGGGCTTAAAAAGTACTTGAAAAGTCCTGGATGTTTGTACTGAAAATGTAGCATGARCCCTGGTCATACAAGATCCACTCATATTGAGACAAATGTTATCACAACACTAAATGTAGCTATTTTTTAAGAGGTATTTCTGTTACCTACCTTTTCAGCTTCTTTATCAATGACACCTGTGAACATTATTCTTGGCATGGGTTGTCTACGCTCTCTWATWGAAGAACGCTGCTTTGGCGTATCATCATTATCTTCCTTYYGTTTCTTTGATGGTGTTTCATCATCTGTCTGCGAGACATAATCAAGGTGATAATTTAATCAARGTTATGAGAAACTGTGCATTTTCTGTGCATATTTTGATCTTGTACAGCTCTGGAATATTACAACTGTTACACTAAAAACACGCAACACGGTCAACTGTAGATAATATTATAAGCTTTCATCCTTAGGAAATGGAAAATCATTACAAGACAAACAAGAAAAATGAAATCAAATTACAACAAGAGTGTATGTTCTAGAGTTGTAAAATACAAGATAGGTACAGCGCTGACTATTGACTGAGGCTTGGTTTTGACTCTGACAAGTAAAGTTATCACTAGTGCATGGTAATAATTTATTTAACGCAAATTTGGAAAATAGGTGTTTAACAAATTTCAATGAAAAATCTCTAAAAAAATGTGGATCATCATTAATACTGATTTAAAACCTTAGTYTTTCCTCTCTTTCTTCTTGGCGTACTGCCTGGGGATGAAGAGACTTGTTCCTGTTGGAAMAAGAAGCATATTAWTTWYTWAMWAMTGAGCATAATTAACAAGCGGTTTGAACAAAAGGGAAATAAAAAAGGGGAAAAATGCAGGAAGACAACCATTTCRCATGCTWACCTCTTTARCCTCCTTCTTAAATTGATCTTTTTCTTGTTTCTTCTCAGAAAGAATGGCATCAAGTGRAGGCAAATCTTCACTATCYTTTTCAGATAAGTCATCGTCAGCTACTTGAAGATGTTTCTTAGCAGGTTGCTTTCCTTTTCTTTTTCCTTTTCCTTTCCCTTTGAACATAAACTCTTCTTCACTGTCTTTCATCTCAAGTGAATCCGCATCTGAATGAATCAGTTAAAACAAAATTAAGAAATATATTGCACACAACATCAATTCGATTGAAGCGGAAAAATTCAGAGTAAGATTGAAGCGAACCATATATTAAATACACTGTATTTTTCTTGCCTAAAATAAGTAACTACAATGTCA